TTTCTCGGAAACGGCTCTAAGGATTTTGATTAAATTCCTTATATGAGTGTAAAATTAAGAAGTTTTAAATAAAATGTAGGTTTTATTCTGATTGATGTTCTCCAACAGAGCTTAAATGAATAATTTTCGATATTAGCTTCCCCTAAGGTGCCTTTATTTTTTATATTTGAAACAATTGACCATTTCTTATTCATTTATAATATAAAAGAGATACCATTTTATATTCATTTTAAATATAAAATAAGAAAAAAATTGATAATTAACTAAAGAGGAAATAAAAGATTGTAACGGAGAATAGTTGTAATTGAGGAATCAATTAACGAGTGCACCCGAGCTTGCCCAAAAGATAAGAACACGCTTCCATACGTAACATGTCCTTAATATAATAAGGACTCCGACAATATTGTGTAAATATACATAAGCAGTTTTCATAAATGCTATTTTAAGTATTTTTTAAATATTTAATTGTATATATTACAGCGATATAAATATAAAAATTTTTATATATATTGGTAATTACTAATACAAATAAAAATACCTCCAATGAAATATAAATAAATATAGCGTTTATGATTTTTAATTTCACTTCCCCTTTGAAAATACTTATTTCTGCTAAGAGGGTGTTTGTGAAAGTTATGTGATGCGCGCACCGCACCAATTTTTTTTTCAGTCTAGTGTCACAAAAAATGTTTCATTGAAATCGGTAACCAACCCCCTCTCCTCCTTCGTAGCTGCCCCTTGCCAGTGCGACTAACCGAAGCAGTAGTTGTGTAGTGCGGGTACTGTAGTTACCCAGCGCCGTCCTCTCAGGCTCATTGTCGGATTGAGAGCTGTCGGATTGGGATCTGGTGGGTCAGGATAAATACGGGTTCAATTAAAACGAGTAGCTTCTGTTAGGAACTAGTCTTGAGTTTAAGGATTTTCTGAATTCCAATTGAATATATGTGTGTACTTATATATAAATTAAAAAAGATAATAAAAAATGCTTACATCTTGTCAAGTTTAAACGGTTGACTACTGATGTTTCTCGACAGGAGATAATCCATTTTTTACATGATTTTAGGAAATTTTTCTCACTTAAGCCAGATCATAAATTAAGAGTAAGGGAAATTAAATTTAAAAAAAGGAGGAAGAAAACTATAAAGGTATTTGATACTTATTAAGAAGAATGTACTAAAGAATCGATTCCAAAGTTTTAAAGATTAATTTTATTGATAACAGTAAAATCTAAACAAATTCAAAATAGAAACAATTAAACCATGCAGATATATATTCTATGTATTAGTAATAATCAATGGTACAACAATTATTTTTAAATAACAAGGTTACTAAGAAGTATTAATTAAGAATGATATAATTGCAGAAAAATTTCGTCCCAATTATTGACAATGTTATGAAATTGACTGACTATGAGTATTGTTGTAAAATTTGTATTTCTTTTTTTCGATGATACAGCTTATTCTGTTTTTTACACATGTTTTAACTTATTACTTTCCTACCTATACTAGGTATGGAAACTATATGCTAACGCCGTTGAAATTCCCTACAAAGCCATATAAAAATCGTTCATTTTTCACAACTATTAACGAAGTTACAGCTATCGATTTCCAATGTAAGATTACGGGTTCATATCCTGGTGTCAGAAAGGGGTGAATGAGAGAATAAAGATAATTAAGTGAAAGTATATAAATCTGTTACCCACACCATACAATCTTCACTATTTCCTCTACTTTTCTGTAGAGGAAAAACAATTTTTATTGACAATACTAAGCTATGGCAAAAAGTTTTTAATCAGCAATATTAGAGAGTATTGAAATTTTTACACTGATCTACCTTAAGCCGGTTTACATTGCTTTAGTTTATCAAATAAATCGTGCTTAAATCTTTTCTTTGATCAATTTTCAGGAGTTCAATTCTTTTTTGTTTTTTGATGAAGATATGTGAAGTTATAAAAACTTTTCTGAAATAGGTAGTAGCGGACTCATCAGATTTTTTTTTTCTCTATTATATCTATTATTTAACTTTGTAAATACGTGCATATATATCTGAGGCTCAAAAGCCCACATTTCTGTCCTTGTTAATTATTATAAAGGGATTTGTCCCAGAATAAATAAAAGATTATTATTATTATTATCTCCGGACACTCTCACTGAACACTAAGTAATCTTCATGGTCATCCTGACAAGGCGGACTATTTTCGAAGGGAAGTCAAGCATGATCGTTCCATCACAAAGCTCTTCTCGAAGAACGCTGCCACAGGCAGATCGGAAATCCACAAAGAGGTGGTGGGTCTCGATATTGTACTCAGCTGCTCTCTCCAACATCCTTCTCACCGAGAAGATTTGCTCCATCATAGCTTTGCTTTTCCTAATGCCTACTTGATATTAGCCGATTTTCTCTTCAACAAAAGTTAATAAGCGTTGGAAAAGGATACTGAAATATATCTTATAAGAAGAGGGAAGCAGAGATATTCTTCTTGTAGTTTTCGCAGTTAAAAGGATATCCCTCCTTTTGAATGGAACATATAAAGAAGACCCTACACGGTCATTCGGAATTGGATTCCGAGGCATTAATGACGTACCGAATTATCGTGTAAGGTAGTGAATGAAGTACTGATGGTGGTGTCTGGCGGATTTCCGAACATCCGGAAATCAAAGGTTCATTCACGAGAAGTGGAGGGGGGGCTGAGGTAAAAGTAGTGGGGAGACTAACCATACTGCTGGATAGGTTAGTTTACCTAGGCCTCACAACAATTATAAATTCCTGATTTTCATTAAAAGTAAATAGTTAAATAGTTTTTCATATCCCTTGTTTATATTTTATAAACCATCTTTAACTATTTCTTTTAAATAGTCAAGTGGTCAACAAATTTAAAAAAAAAGTGAAAAATTCACAATTTACTTAAAGAAAAAAATTAATCTTCAACTGACTTAATTTAAGCACTCCTACACATATATAACTTCTCTCTCCAAAATTCCATTTTTCCCAAATCCTGGAAAAGAGCCATAGTCCGTCCACTGAACAAAGTTCCAACTCCTTCATCTTTCTTATCTAATCGATCTCAGGCAGTTACAATACCGAATAAACCTCCATCATCATCACTGCAATTAACGCGAGGTGTTCCTCAGGGTACCTCACTCTCCCCGACCCTTTTCTCTATCTATATTAGTGACCTTCCTAACGCCATTCAACACTCCAATTACCACCTATATATGATTTCCAAATATACCAATCATTCCAACCTTCTGAGATGCCTGAGGCTGCCCGGAGGCTACAAGAGGACATCGACTGCATCAACAGATGGACAGAAATAAATGAATTAATGCTGAATGCAGATAAAACCAAGGCTATTATCATCGGGTCCAGATATCTCATCAGCTCCCTTCCTTACCTTCCTCTACTTTACCTCAATAACCATCCCATCCATTTTTTCCCTACAGTCAAAAACCTAGGAGTAACCTTTGACCAGAACCTCTCCTGGAATAATCATATCTCCCAGATTACCCGAAAATCCATAACTGCCCTTAAACAACTCCTAAGATTCCGTGATTGTATTCCTCTAAAAACCAGGCAGCTCCTTGTAACCTCCCTTGTATTCCCCCACTTCGACTACGGCTGCTTGGTGTATGGAGGGCTATCTGCCAGGCTGGAAATGAGACTAAAAAGACCCATGAATTGTTTCATAAGATACATTTTCGGGATCTCCAGGTGTTCACGTGTTTCACTATGGTACACCGAGTTGAAGTGGCTTTTTCCTACTTCCCGACGACAATTCCTTCTTGGCGTTTTCCTTTTCCAAGTCTTCAGAACCAAAAACCCTCCCTACATCCTGGAACTCCTTACTCTGCGCTCCTCTATCCACTCTCTCAATACTAGGTCTCAACCTATAGACTTATATATTCTTTCCCATAAAACTTTCTCCTTCAGCAAATCCTTCGTCATTCGTGCTGCTTCCTTATGGAACTCACTTCCTACCTCCATGCGTCAATCCTCATCCACAAATTCCTTCAAACAACTCCTGTTCCAACACCTACTCCACATTCAAACTTCCCCTAACATGTAAAATTACTTGCATCTATACCATGTTTAATTTTAATCCATTGCACAATTGAAATAACAATTAACAATAAATTAGTTGGTATTTTTACTATGTCATACTAAGATATATAAATTTGTAACTCGATTATTATTTTTAGTGGACAGTAGTCCCAGAATAAAATTATTTTTTCATTCATTCAACTGCTGTGTATATTTGTCATTAATTTTTCCATTTTTCTTAACGGTTTGATTATTTTCTCAATACTTTTTCTAATTTTTTGTAAGTAGTTGACTTATATTTTTCTAAATTTGGTCTAAATGATTTCCAGGCACTAGGAAGTAATTATTATATTTCCATTTTTCTCTTGATGTCCAATACTATAAAGGACAATGTCCAAATAAGCATATCTATGCTGTTTCTTTGTTTACAACTGAGCTAAATTGGCTTCAGCAACGATAAGTAATGATCAGTAATGATTGAACGTGTAAGGGTCTTCATGATCAAAACGATCCCAATCAATCTTTGTCATTCTTGTGTCGTTCATTCACGAATGATCGTGTAAGGGTCGCTTATAAGGATAGACCAGCCTCGTCCCTCGTCCATAATTTTAGCTGACGTGTGCACAGTTATATTTCTATGAATGAGGTTTAGAAATCTTAAGCGACCGTTAAACGATGATTAGGTATAAGGGTCGCTTAAGAGTATTGAACCATTCTTCAGCAATCCTCTCTACCCAGATGTCTCAATGTGTTTTCGGTATTCCGATTGGTTCAATAGCAAAGAAAATAGAGTAGTTGGGATATCTTTGTGTTCTTACATATTTGTGGTATCAAAGTATTTTTATTTTTTCAAGTTTTTTTATGTAAAACTCAATTGAGTTGAGTTTGAGAATAGTTGAGCATTCGACTGGCAAAGTTAACTAGAGAATAATTTTGGACTGATATAAATGTTTTGCTTTTAGATCACATTATCTACAATGGCTTTGAAAGGCATAACAGTCCTGGAATTGAGCGGATTGGCTCCTTCACAATTTTGTGGCCACATTTTGGCAGATTTTGGGGCAAAAGTGATTCGAATTGATAAGGTAATCTACTTTAGTTTGTATTTATATTTTTGTTATTGGTTTGCATATTATTATTATTATCTAGTTGATATTTTAATGGTTGTAAAACTTTCCTTTATTTATTTTATTTTTTATAAGTAAGATATAGTGGTAATATAATAATGTAATAGTAAAATGTTAGACAAAAGAAAACTGTTACAAAACGCCATATTATGAAAATAAATATAATAATTTGTAATATTGAATATTTAATAGTTGATCGTGGCATTATAAAGAAAGCAGATGGTCCGGGGTGGCGGTCATAAATAGGCTAAATAGTGACAAAACTATTTTATTAAAAGCCAACGTTTCGACCCGACTTTGCAGGTCTTCTTCAGAGAGGTGTGTTCAGCTAGAACTCAGTTCTAAGTGAACCTCCTAGCTGAACACACCTCCCTGAAGAAGACCTGCAAAGTCGAGTCGAAACGTTGGCTTTTAATAAAATAGTTTTACCCCTATTTAGCCTATTTATGACCGCCACTCCGGACCATCTCCTTCCTTAATAATTTGAAATCTATTTAAGAGAATATAATTTCTAATTATTTTCTTAGAATTATAGAAAAAAAACGAGGAGTTGATCAGGGGGTGCGGTCAAATAAATACTAAATTTTAAAAAATAGTATTTTTAATTGTTATGCCGACGTTTCGATCAACTTTGTAGGTCATAATCAGGGCAAAGAAGAGGAGTTTAAAACTGAAGAGTTCAATGTTTCATCATGTGAATAATTGTTGAACGAAGATGAAGATGAAGAGGAGTGTGAAGAGAAGTGATTAGATATCGGTGAGTGATGAAAAGTTCCGGAAGTTTTGATATCTGATACTGCGATGAATGGAAAGAGCAGAGAGGTTCTGATGTGAAAAAGATAGTTGTGGATTTTTTTATATAAAATTAAGTCTGTGACTACGGCGTATGGATTGTGGGTTCGTAGCTTGTATTTGACCTTTTGGTAATGAATTCATAATGATGTAGAGATGGTGGACCGTGATAATATGAGGAATTGGTCGGGGGGTGCGGTCAAATAAATACTTTTTTGTTTTATTAAAGAAATTTACAACTGTATTAAATAATAAATACAACAAGTAAATGTACATTGGTAACATGACATGTACAACATGAACAGAAACTACCCATTGGTAGCACTCCAATTATATTTCTATATTAGAAGATCCCGAGGCCATTTTCTTTTCAGACGCCTCGGAGGGTTAATAGGAATAGAAGAGGAAGCAAGGTTGGAAACGAGAGGGTTTGGATGGTTCAGAAGTTTATTATGAAAGGATAGGTATCTGGATTGAGCTAAATCGGAAACATATGGTACATTAAGGTCATTATGGATGATTTTCTTTGTGACAAAGTAGGGAGCATTGAGGATTTTACGAAGGATTTTGGATTGGATAAGAGAGGAATTCGATGGTTTGGTAGAGCCCCAATGCTCGATCCCTTAAGTCCTAATAGGCCTTATTATAGTAATATATATGAGTCTTTTGTAAATAGTTGGCAGTTTAGAGCGTTTGTCCAGTAAGTGCTGGAGTAGTCGGAAGCGTCGGGCAAATAAATACTAAATTTTAAAAAATAGTATTTTTAATTGTTAGGCCTACGTTTCGACCCACTTTGTAGGTCATCATAAGGGTAAAGAAGAGGAGTTTAAAACTGAAGAGAGGGGTCGAAACGTCGGCATAACAATTAAAAATACTACTTTTTAAAATTCAGTCTTTACTTGACCGCACCCCCCGACCAACTCCTTTTGTTCTCATATTATATCACAGTCAAGCATCTCTGCAACATCATAGAAAAAAATGTTTTTTTAACTTTTATTATGATATTTATAACTGTATTAGTATGAATACATCAATTAAATGTGTACAGAGGAATATAATCACATGAAACAAGCTTGTTGAGAAACTACCCACAGGTAGCACTCTAATAATTTGTCTACATGAGGAGATCACGAGGCCATCTTCTTTTCAGACGCCTCGGAGGGTTATCAGGAATCGAAGAGGAAGCAAGGTTAGAAACAAGAGGATTCGGATGGTTCTGAAGTTTATTATGGAAGGAAATGTATCCGGATTAGGCCAAATCGGAAACATGTGGAACATAGAGCTCTTTATGGATTATTTTATTTGTGACAAAGTGAGCAGCATTGAGGATTTTACGAAGGATTTTGGATTGTAAAGATTGGATACGAGAGGAATTTGATGGTTTATTGGAGCCCCGTAGCTCACATAAACCATCACGATCACGAGGCCATCTTCTTTTCAGACGCCTCGGAGGGTTATCAGGAATCGAAGAGGAAGCAAGGTTTGAAACGAGAGGGTTCGGATGGTTATGAAGTTTATTATGGAAGGATAGGTACTGGATTGGTTCAGATCTGAAACATTAAGGTCGTTATGGATGGTTTTATTTGTAACAAAGTAAGGAGCATTGAAGATTTTGGATTGTAGGGATTGGATACGAGAGGAATTCGATGGTTTAGTTCAACCCATAGCTCAACTCCATAAGTCCAAATAGGTCTTATTATAGTCATGTATATGAGTCGTTTGTAATTAATAGGAAGTTTAGAGCGTTTGTCCAGTAAGTGTTGGAGTAATTGGAATCGTCGAGCGGTTTCTTGTCGTTTCAGTCTGGTATGAGGATTCCAAGTGAGACGTTTGTCCAACTGGAGTCCTAGGTATCGGATTTGTTCTACAGAGATAAGTGGGGTATTATTAAAGGATACTATAGGACAGCAAGTCATTGGTTTACGACGAAGGGTAAAGGTGATTTGATGGGATTTATTGAAATTTATTTTAATCTTTCAGTTTTAACACCATTCTTCAAGGTTTGTGATGTGTGATTGAAGAGTTTGGGATGCTATTGATGGATCGTTATTAACTGATAGAACACATGTATCATCGGCATAGATGGTGATGACAGTGTTAGGATGGGTTGGGATATCAGCTATACAAACTGTGTAAAGGATAGGACCTAGGATACTACCTTGAGAAACACCAGCGGACTGGGAAAAAAGGGATGAACAGGCATTATTATGATTTACTTGGAAGGATCAAACTCCGTAGATTCCTACACCCTACATACTACGGAGTCCTGGGTAACAGACTCGATCAAAAGCTTATTCAAATAAATACAAAATTTTTTAAAATTATATTTTTAATTGTTAGGCCCGAAGTTTCGACCCACTTTGTAGGTCATCATCAGGATAAAAAAGAAGAGTTTAAAACTGAAGAGGGGGGGGGGGCAAAATGTCGGTATATCAGTTAAAAATACTATTTTTTAAATTTACTATTTATTTGATCCCAACCCCCGACCAACCCCTTCTCATATTATATCACGGTCAACCATCTCTACATCATTATAGAAAAAAACTTTAAACGGGAATGTTCGATTTTGCGAGATAAATAGCTATAGTTATTATTATTATTTTTTCTCCCAACACCACATATGCTGATGACACATGTATCCTATCAGTTAATAGCGACCCATCTATTGCATCCCAAATCCTTCAATCCCACATCATAAACCTTCAAGAATGGTTTCAGAACTGGAGAATTAAAATAAATTCCAATAAATCCCATCGAATTACCTTTAACCTTCGTCGTAAACCAATGACTTCCTGTCCTACAGTATCCTTTAACAACACCTAACTTATTCCTGTTGAACAAATCCGTTACCAAGGACTCCACCTGGACAAACGTCTTACTTGGAATCCTCATACCAGACTGAAACGACAAGAAACAGCTCGACGTTTCCGACTACTTCAACACTTACTAGACAAACGCTCTAACCTTCCAATTAACTACAAAAGACTCATATACATGACTATAATAAGGCTTATTTGGACTTACGGAGTTGAGCTATGGGGCTCCACCAAACCTTCAAATTCCTCTCGCATCCAATCCTTAAAATCCAAAATCCTTCGAAAAATCCTCAATGCTCCTTACTTTGTTACAAATAAAATCATCCATAAAGACCTTTATGTTCCTTATGTATCAGATTTGGCCTAATCCTCTTGTTTCTAACCTTGCTTCCAGAAGATGGCACCGTGATCTCCTAATATAGACATATTATCAGAGTGCTACCAATGGGTAGTTTCTCAACGGGTGTTTCATGTCATTATATCCATGTGCGAATTTACTAGATGTATTTTTTTTTATATATACAGTTGTAAATATCATATAAATAAATTTAAAAAAAACTATTTTTTCTTTATTTATTATTACTAATACTGTTAATTCCTTTGTCTCAAAGAGTTATTTCCTCAAAGCGTTAGAATTGACCTGCTTCAACCATTGATAGATTTATCCTGTTATTCTTCAGGAGATGTTGACAGTCCAACACTTTGTGGCTACAACATTATTGCCCTTAGTGTCCCATAATAGGTATTCCTGCTTTTGTATATTGAGCCTCATTTGTTTCAAAAGGTTATAGTTAGCACATGCTTGGTGCATTATTACTTTTAACAAAAAACCAACTTTCCCACGGGAATAGTTAAATAATAGCCATCCCCTACTTTATCATTTCCTATATATTGAGCTCCAAAATATCCTACAGGCAATACCAAGTTTAGAAGTCAGACATGTAACATTAGTTTAGGCCTCACAAGGCTAGTTTGTTAGAAGTTCAATAACATTATGACAGTGTAACTTTATATTTTACAATAAAAGTATATTTCAAAAGTCTTTACTGTTGTACGAGTTAATTTGCGTACAAATTTTTTTTAACTTACCGTACGAATACAAATGTACCTTCGGAAGTGAGGAAGCAAAAGAAATTTTGTGGTTACTTAAAATGTTTTTATTGATTACAAAAAAAATCAATAGGTGCTTACTATTTTTTTATAACTTACGTTTTGTTTGGGAAATTGGTTCAAGTAGTTTGAGGCGTCGGCTTAAAATTTTGTTGAAATGTTAGAACCTTTTTAAAAGTTTTTTTTTTTCATTTAATACTGTAGTTATCAATTCCATATTAATTTTAAAACATTCAATTTTGTTTTAATTTTAGGTTGGACATCTTGGTCCACACGAGCAACTTTTAGGACATGGAAAAAAATCTGTCTCCGTTAATTTGAAACTGCAACAGGGAAGAGACGTGATAAAAAAGCTTAGTACAAAATCTGACGTATTAATAGAACCATTCAGAGCAGGTATTTTTCTGAGTATTATATTTTATTTTAGTGAATATCATAATTTTTGTTGTAATATGCATTCGTAAAAATGTGAAACCGCTTAACTAACTATTCAACAGATTTTTTTTTTTAAATAAGCGGAAGAAATAGAGCTTCATTGGTAACATTGTATTTTCATCTAATTTTTCTTACATAGCGATATAAAATAAACTTTTATTTATGCCTATAAATATTACTTATTAGCATGTTCCTGGTCAGAGTACCTTGAACAGTTATTGAGGTTCATCCTCATTCTTCGTAAAATATATGAAGAGATTTTTTGTGGCTCAACAAACAATATGTAAGCAGTGGATTCCATCAATGGATTGAATCCAGCAAGGATGAATAGCGTTTTAGAAAGCAAATAAATATCTATAGCCATATATTAGATTTTCGTATAACAAAATGACTCCAATTTCATCTTTCTTTATTATTAATTTTAGTGATGTTTCCTGTGGCAAAATGCATGCGTTTATTCACAGTTCTATATTTCAACTCTGCAATCACCTACTCTGGAATCAACTTACTCACTGTCTGTATAAATATAACTTTTCCAACTTCAAATATCACTAAAATGAATTTACTCAAAAATGTTGAAATTGGAGTTAGTCATTCTGTCAACTGAAAGGCTCAGAGACTGGGGTTATGTGGTTTATAAAACTAGATTTTTATTGCCTGCCGTCGATATAATAAATAGACTTTTTGTAATTTTAATAGTCTTAGTGATTTGTTATCTGTAAGCTTTAAGCTTTAGCTCCGTTTGAAATGGACTTAATAATAGCCCAGCATTGCCAGAAAATAATTTCTATTCAAGGTAGAGAAGTAAGTGAATGTTGTGTGCGCACCAGATTTTTTAAATTAATTATAAAAAAGTTTCATATTTAGCTAGAACTTAAAATAACAGTGCGTCTAGGAGGTGTGGTGGTGACGGTGTATGTGGGCTGAGTTAAATGTAAGGTCTCAGTTCTTTCTAAACATGCATTTATGAAAGCTATTGAAATACATTTTAAATATTTGTATTCCAGCTGATATCCCAACACATCCTAACACTATTATTACCACGTATGCCGATGATACACGTGTCCTATCCGTTAATAATGATCCAACCATTGCATCCCAAACTCTTCAATCACATATCACAACCTTCAAGAATGGTGTCGAAACTGGAGGATTAAAATAAATTCTAATAAATCCTATCAAATCACCTTAATCCTTCGCCGTAAACCTATGACCCCCTGTCCTACAGTTTCCTTTAATAATACCCCACTTATACCTGTTGAACAAATCCGATAACTTGGAGTCCACCTGGACAAACGTCTAACTTGGAATCCGTCAAACCAGACTGAAACGACAAGAAACCGCTTGACGTTTCCGACTACTCCAGCACTTACTTGACGACAAACGCTCTAAGATTCCAGTTAATTACAAACGACTCATATATATATAACAATAATAAGACCTATTTGGACTTACGGAGTTGAGCTTTGGGGCTCCACTAAGCCATCGAATTCCTCTCGTGTCAAATCCTTACAATCCAAAATCCTTCGGAAAATCCTGAATGCACCTTACTTTGTAACCAATAAAATAATCCATAACGACCTTAATGCTCCTTATGTTTCCGATTTGGCCCAATCAAGATACCTATCCTTCCATAATAAACTTCAGAACCATCCGAATCCTCTCGTCTCTAACCTTGCTTCCTCTTCTATCCCTGATAACCCTCCAAGACGTCTGAAAAGAAGGTGGTCTCGAGATCTCCTATTCTAAATACTTTTCTTTTTTTTTTTTTTAGAGTGTTGCCAGCGGGTAGTTTCTCAACAAGTGATTTCATGTTATTATTTTCTGTTATCAAATTTCCTAAATGTATTTTATTTATTAATACAGTTGTAAATGTATGAAAAAATTTGTATTCAGAGACGATAGGATAAGAGACAAATCAGAAAAATATTTCCGGGTGTACGTTTTGAAATTGGAAACACTATTCTGCTAGTGTTTAGAACAGTGTAGTAGCTATAATCAACGGTATGAGCTAGGCCGTTGGCAGCCCATGACGTAGCCGTGTCTGCACTCTCTGACGTAGCTCCGTCCCCACCTCTTTTCTTTAACACTAATTATTGTAATAACCTGATTTTAACTGACTAATAAAAATTGAAAATTCATGTAAGTACCCAATTAAGTAAATCAAAGAGGTGTTCAATATTATTTCATTTATTTTTTCCTCATACCAGACTGAAACGACTTGAAACCGCCCGACGTTTTAGACTACTGCAGCACTTACTAGACAAACGCTCTAAGCTCACAATCAATTACAAACGATTCATATATATGACAATAATAAGGCCTATTTGGACTTACGGAGTTGAGCTATGGGGCTCTACTAAACCATCGAATTCCTCTCGTATCCAATCCCTACAATCCAAAATCCTTCGTAAAATCCTCAATGCTCCCTACTTTGTTACAAATAAAACCATCCGTAATGACCTTAATGTTTCAGATCTGAACCAATCCAGTACCTATCCTTCCATAATAAACTTCAGAATCATCCCAACCCTCTCGTTTCTAACCTTGCTTCCTCTTCAATTCCTGATAACCCTCCGAGGCATCTGAAAAGAAGATGGCCTAGTGATCTCCTAATATAGACATATCATTAGAGTGCTATCATTGGGTAGTTAATCTACAAGTGTTTTCACGTCATTGTATCCATATGTTCAAATTTACTAAATGTATTTCTTTAATACAGTTCTAAATATCATTAAGAAATAATAATAATTAAAAAAAGTATTTTTTTTATATATTTATTTGTTTTAATTTATTTTCTAGGTGTTATGGAAAGGTTAGGCCTTGGTCCAGAAATACTGACCGGCATTAATGATAAGCTGATCTATGCTCGCCTCTCGGGTTTCGGGCAGGTTGGCGAAATATCAAAATCAGCTGGTCACGACATCAACTTCTTAGCATTATCAGGTTATTTATTTATTTTTGTTCTCAAATTAAACTATAACATACTTCTGAGAATATAGTTTTTAAAATATTATAGTTCGAGTTAAAAAAAACTAATTTTTTATTTGTATTTTTATTTTACCTAAACATTAATGTTCCGGTTTAATTTGAACACTTATTATGATTTGAAGAAATTGGGTATTTATTTCATTCTATTAGCTGGGCTAGTAAAAATTCTACGTTGTATGTATGTGATATTCCACCATAGATCTCATTTCCGTCTCTCAGAGTATTTTGATTGAAATTTTTAAAAATACAAGTATGGCACCCATGCTTTCAGTAATAAACTTCTATATTTGTAGTTAGTGAGAGTTACAAACTAATCTATTCTGCACCAAAAAATAAGTCTTGTGCGAGTACAACTTAACAACAATATTAATAATATGAAATATAAACTGTAAATAATAGTTCATTATAAAGAGGATGAAATGATGAACAATCTCCTCGCTTACAGTATGCAGGTCCGATTTTTAATTTCTGAGATATTTAATCCATATCTTCAATAAATCTCGTTCCTCTAACACGGCGCTGCGTTATGATACAATTTTGAATAATAACTCATTACAGAATGGATGAAATGATGAACAATTCCTTTCTTACAGTATGCAGGTCCGCATAGGCCCCACCCCCAAGGTTGATGGCACAAGAATATACCCCTTCCTCTTCCCAAGATATTTTATTGCTCACCGTTTCTTAAAAATAGAGCAAAATTAGAAAAATCGTTGATCATAAATAATTACATTCCATATGTAACGGTCTGTTCCATATTTTCCTCTTGTTGTCCCTTATGAGAGAAAACTCATAACCGCATCGAAATTTGCCAACCTCAAAAATTCAAAAACCCTTACAGGTCCGATTTTTACTTTCTGAAATATTTTATTCCTATATAACTCGAGATATTAATAGTATAACTTCCCTTTGTTTAAATTGCTATTAACGACTTTGGCGAACTCCTTACTGGTTTATTTCAGTCAAAATCGGGTCCTTAATTACCTTTAGTTACATGGCTAATTTCGATTTCGGCTCGCTACGCTCGCCCAAAACTGATACACTGACCCACAACAGGTTCTTTTCAGTCAAAGTCATGGTCTTACCAGACAATCCAGAAATTAAAAAAAAAAAATGAATAGGTAAGATATGAGCTTCATTGTGCTATGTATTGTAAAGACCGCCGGTGGAATAATTATTTTAAATGTATAAATAAACACCATAAGTGTTCACATCTGGCGGTACCTGACCGAAGGTAATAACCCATTAGGACAACCTTTTGTAAGTGGTAATAAAAACCCTTAAGAACCACCGACAAAGACCGACAACTAAGTGTTTAAAAAGGATCCCGTAAGACCTTTTCACACCTTCCACCAGAAATATGGAAATCTGTACCTGCTGCTTTACCTTGGCCTGGGGGAGAGGGCGTGGTCATCCCTTAGGCTGAGAATATTCAGCCAATCAGGAAAAAGACTACCAAAAGAGAGGGGGATGAAAAAAGGTGGGAAATAGAGAATTGGACTGGACACTTCTTCTTGGGACTCGGAGAGGAGGAGACTTCTTCTTGGGACTCGAGATGAGAGGACTTCTCTGGGACTCGGAGGAGAGCGGGGAGTCGAGGGAGGAAGACGAAGACAGTGGGAGAGAGGAGATGGACGGACTAGACGCTGAAGGAGAGCAGAGACAGGGAATCCAGATATGACGGCTAGAAACACCAAGAAACACTATGAAGGACCAGCTAAGTGGTAACAAGCATTTAGTTATACTAATGTAAATTTGTGTTGGCAACCATCAATCATTAATTAATATAATCAATAGAACATAAGTAACTCTAATCAAGCATTCTCCTCTAGTATGATTCTCAACTAATATTATGTATATAGGTTTAGTTATTATTTTGTGTATAGATATTTTTGGTTTTATTTAATTTTGTAAATATATTAGTTAGCAAACCAACGTAGTACTTTTACCATCTACCTTGCATGCCACCAATTAGTAATAGGAACAAATAGTAAATTTATAAACATGATACCTTTAGAAAGGAAATCCGATAAAAATTATATGGTTCAATCTAGGATACTACAGTAGGGGGTCTGTGGTATCTAACATTTCAATACAAATATAAGTATTAAATACATTTTAATACGAATAAATGCGATTCCTGGAACCCCTTACTCGCCGTAGAAACACGAGGTCAGGAACATAGCAATTGTTATAGACCATACGATAGAAGTGAAAACATCAACAAGGCGAGATTGATAATATGAAATATAAATTATAAATAATAGCTCATTATAAAGAGGGTGAAATGCTCAATATTTCCCTCGCTTACAGTATGAAGGTCCGATTTTTAGTTTATGAAATATTTTAATCCATATCTTCAATAAAACTCGATACCATTTGGTTTTCGACATTTTTTTCCCCTTTTCGCCTCCCTAACACGACGTCGCGTTAAGATACAATTTTGAATAATAGTTGATTATAAAGAGGATGCTATGTATTGAACATAGCAAATAAGTTTTTAAAAATTAATATGAGATGTCTAAAACAAAGTTGAATGAAACCGACTTCTGACATCAAAACAGCGTCAAAGGTAGAGAATAGGTAGATAAGGACCGACCTATACATGGACCCTGGGGAAGGCTTAGAGTAAAAACTAGTAACGGGCCAAGTAATTGGTTCCTTTTAGGGTGTTACCAGTTGTTGTGAAGTAATAGGGTCAAGTTAAGAACCAATGGAAACCATCCTTGTCCCACCCTGAATATTTGTATAAAATCTACCTGGAAGGAAGAAAAGAGGTCTTATGTTAATGTCCGGCCTTGAGGATATGTCTTATGTCTTCCTTTCTACCTTGGGAACGGAAGTAGTAGCTGCCTACCTACATAGATCTTAGAAGAGTTTCGGACCTGGGCTTGACGAGATGACCTCGGGTCAGCTGATGCAGCGATGAAATCTACTAACTACACCACTTCATATACCGTAATAGCTAAGTTGTAGTTCCCAATCCTAATGTTAAAATATTTCATGGCAATAATTCGCAAACAGTCCATCTGAAATCATACCTGCAAAGTCATTATTAAATCATGTTTTTATTTAATTTATTGTAAATAGTATTTGTAAATAAAGATTTCCATTTAATTTATTTATATATATATAATACTTTACTAAACATAGAAATAAATTAAAGTTATTTTAATTCTACCACCCATTTATATCATGATGATCACAGGTAATGTGTGTAATAAGAAAGCATGATAAACACAAACCAGCCTTTGAGAAAAGAAATCCAATTAATTAATCATCTACCAAATATGTTAAAGAACCAAATTTGTTAAATAAGCTTTTATAATTAATTTTTATTAAACATTTCTCGGTAATTATCATAAATAATTATCCAGTGGCATCCCGGATAAATTTCAACGCCCCAAAACGTAACATTTCAAGGATAAAATGCTGAACATTTCCCTTGCTAACAATATGAAGGTCTGATTTTTAGTTTTTGAGATTTTTTAATTCATATACAAAAACACTTTATTAGTCGAACGTTAAATACGGGAGATCTGAGGCTCAATCTTATTCACTCTCCACAAAAAATTTGAAACACGCCTATAGAAGTTTTCACTTTAAAAAATCTTTCAATTTTCAGGTGTTCTCTCATTGCTGGGCTGGAACGGAAAGCATCCTACACCTCCTTGCAATATATTAGGGGACTTCGCAGCAGGAAGTGTCCTCTGTGCTCTAGGGATCGTGATGGCGCTGTTCGAACGAACGAGAACAGGAAAAGGCCAAGTCGTCGACCTCAGCATAACCAGAGGTTGTTCCTACCTCGCTTCTTGGATATTCGCTACCAAAGACTCATTGTGGTCTGACCAGCGAGGTCGCAATTTGTAAGTCAAGAAATTATTCAGTCAGATAGTATTAATATCCTTTATAAAATATTGATTGAGATGAAATCACTAAATGGACTGGAAACTACTATAATTATTTTCTTCTTCTTTAGCTTCTCCCTTTCGTGACTCTCAGTGTAAGGAGGTGAGCAGTCACGAACTTCACTCTTCTCTGTTTTCTTTTGCCTCTTCCTTTGTAGAGTCTATCGATGTACTCCAGATATGACATTCTTGGGCGTCCTCGAGGTCTTTTGCCATCTGGAGCGTAGTCCATCGACTCCAATGGGTCTCTATGTTCCTCCATCCTAATCACACGTCCAAATCATTTCAATTGGCGGATTTGCAGAACCTCCTTCAATGAGGGGATCCCCAGAAATTGAAAACTGCAATGTAATTTAAGCTCATTAAGGCCCTGATTTTAATTGAAAATGGCCAGTTGACATTTTGTCTGATTCGTAGATAACAATTTAAATAAAGCGAAGTTATACTGTGAACAGGTTGTCAATCTGCTGTTATTCTCGGAATCCCATTTATTGCGTGATCATAAGATCTTGGCCCACTGGACAAAGTGGAATGACACTTGTACAGTGCTGCCATCCACTAGCGGATCCAGGATTTAATTTTGGGGGGGGGGGGCTTCAGCCCGAAAGCTTTTTTTTTCATAAAAATAACAATAATTACTTTGGAAAATAAGAAAGAAACTAACTACCTATCTGAACTGGTGTTTAAGTGATTCCTAAAGCCCTTTTAAATGTAATTATATGAACGATTATACTTTAAGAGATAATTTTTAAATATTTTTTTCGATAAAACATGGTTATATTTTACCATTTTGGGGGAGGGGCTTAAGCCCGAAAGCCCTCCCTCCCCCCCCCCCCCGTAGATCCGCCCGTGGTGCCATCTCCCTCTTACCTCACCATTCATGGCAAACAGGGAGGCTGTTCTTGAGGTACAATCAAACTTATTCCATCCATAGTAGTTATAATATTATATTCTAAAATATTATCTTCATCCAAGTATTGTAAATAACATGTTAAGGTTTAATTTTAAATATTCCTTTTGGTGGGAATAGTTAAATATTCCTTCCGTTTTTATCGGAGTACTAGGTTATTTACACTTCTGAATTTAATTTTCTTAAAACTAAACGCCAGCACTGGATATAGACTTTTTGAGGGTGTTTAACTATCGTTAAGAATTCGGGAACCTAATGCTTTTGCGACACTGAGTGACAAGAAATAATAAGAATATATGATGTGGGATTGAGTAAATACACTTTAAATGAATTGACTCACCTGGTTTTTTATTCTTCAATTGTGAAGCCTATAGGACAACTAAATCAAAGGACTATTCACTCCTGTATAATAAAAATAATTTATTTCCACAACTGTAATAAATTGACTCCATTAAAGTGTGATAACTATAGGCTTGATCTTAATCTTTAGTGTATCGTTCGTTTCAAACCTGATCATGGGATTCACTATTAGTGCCTCTTTTACCTTCGCATTGAATGCTAGAATGTCGACGAACCTAGTTGAGCCTTCCGGATCCAGGTAATAAACCTCGAGGAAACATCTATATTTCAAGAAATTTGGCTATTCAATGTTTTATATTATTGTGCCGGAGGGTGACAAGGAGCATGGAGCATGTTATTCGGACAATTGCCCAATATAATGTAAATAACCTGTTTCGGGGGCCACTGTAAATATTCCTGTTTGGCGGCAATTGTAAATATTCTTTCCATTTTGTCGGAAGTGTATGTTATTTACACTTGTGAATTTAATATTCTTAAAACAAAACTCCAGTCCTAGATATAGACTTTTTGAGGGTGTTTAACTGTCGTTAGGAATATGGGAACACTTGACCCTGAGTGACAAGAAACAATAAGAATATATATATTTGAAATGTGGGACTGAGTAAATACACTTTGAATGAATTGACTCACCTGGTTTTTTATTGTTCGATTGTGAGGCATACAAGACAACAAAATAAAAGAACTATTCATTCCTGTATAATAAAATAATTTATTTCCACAACTGTAATAAATTGACTCCATTAAAGTGTTATAATTATAGGCTTGATCTTCCTTATGTTCAGTGTAGTAGACTTCTCTTCTCAGATAACCTCCTTCCTTCATGTCCCAGCCTCAAGTGAGTTCTCCTTTCTTCTCTGGTCTGCTCGTCCCAGCGTATTCCTTCGTTGATTCTTTATCGATATGAGACTTTTCAATAAACAATTTGTCCACTGCATAATTGAGTACCATTCCTAGCTCAACCTCACATTCCTATATATTCCTTCTCATTCTCTCACACAATGTCACATAAAGGAGTAAATACTGGGGGCTATCTACTACAGTATACAATACTATATTTATGATTAGTATTTAAGTAAGTTCACAAAAAGTAATTATAATATTATATAAAAAGCATTTTTATATTTAAAATATTACTTCCAGGTTAGATGGTGGAACTTATTTATACAACACATACGAAACAAAGGATGGTAAATGGATGGCAGTTGGAGCTCTAGAAAAAAAATTCTATGACAATGTCTTAATAGGATTAGGTCTAAAAGAAGAAGATTGCCCGTATTTCTCTGAAAATGGATTTAGTATTTTTACAAGAATATTCAAAGAGAAGACTCAAGCTGAATGGATAAAGGTATCATTGAAAATCTATATTAAATTTATTTTTATTTTTATTTGAACATATTAATTATAATTATAATCCTTATAATTTATAAAAATTTATTATCCCAGAATATTTAAATCGTTCATCGCTATAGGCACAATGGAATTGCAGAACTCATATTTTCACTTGTCACTGAGCAAAAATTAGGGAGGGTTAATTGAGGCACTTGCTCTGGGCAACAGAATTTAGGAAATAGCAAATTTCGAATCCTTTTTTTTTATATTAAATAAAAAATGTTTGTGACTGCTTTTTGATTTTTTTTTAACCTAAATTTGGGTTAATAAAACAAGTTTATGTAACCATGTGTCGATATTTCTTATCACTCTATTATATAAAATAGTTTTTAGTGTCTGTCATATTTTTTTAATATTAGTATTAGGAGAGTAAGAGGTTACAGAAGCTCTCCTATTAGCACTAATTACACAGCTGATCATTTAATTACACATGTGTTGAGCTCCTGTTCCCTAATACACTCCTAATACAAAATAAAGATTTTAGACTAAACGTTTGCATGGGAAATGGTATTCATTCATCTGGAGCTGGTAGTGTGATTTTACTTAAGTGACAGCAGTTATTTTTTTATCTAGACATTTCCCCTTGAATACAATAAATTAATTATTATATTATATATAATGTTATTTATATTATATTGTGATATAATTATAATAATTATTGAATAGAAAACGAAGCACAATATAACGAACAATGAAAATATTATAAATAAAAGGCTTAAATTATTGTTGGGCTTATATGAATCTGGACAAGTTGAATATATATTATCGTTACAAATTGGCAATAATAATAATTATAATTATATAATAATACAAATTGGCAATAAGGTGCAATTTATAATATAGATTTGTAAAGAAATTAAAAATTTGACCGAACCGTCGTTTTGTTCAGTTTATTTTATGTTGATAAAAAATAATACATTCTATACTACAGAATACATGTAAATTAAAGTTATACAATTTGAGCAACGAGTATTACAACTAAATGACAGGGGGTTCAGATTAAATATATTAAAAAAAATACTGTTTACTTTTTTGGGGAAAAGGGGGGGGATAACAAAAGAAGCAAGGAAATTAAGTTAGCCCTCCTGGAAATGAATATTTATAGCGAACTGTACTTATAGACTGGGAATTACCTACCATTTCATTTAACGGAAGCTAATAACGATTTTATATTCTCGATAAACCTCATCTCAACACACAACTTCAGTCAGTCACTTGAATTTGTTGCTTTATACACGAAAATTTAAATTAACTTTAATCGACTTTTCATTTAAATAAAAAACTGATGGTTAAAATTTTGATATGATGTATAATTTGTCTCTTAAAGAGAATTCACCTTGACTCACCATGCATCAGATTGCGTTTTGAAAACTAACGGTGTCAAAATCATCAAATTATTCCTGTCAAATGGTAGTTACATCAGGAAAAAATTCAAAAGGTTTTTGAAATATAGATGTCCATGTATTTTTATAATTTTTTTTTCCTACTAATTTACATTATACATTAGTAATACCAATAATTCATAGATTAAACATTAATGAGGAAAAATTTTCCAAGAATTATGATTTTTATTTGTGGTCTGAAAGACACAATTATAAATAGACTAAACATATCTAAAACAAAAATTACTTTTTTAGTTAATAAGTTTAAGTTAATCTAGTATAGTTTTATTTGCTTTTTACTAACGTTTATTATTTATTTATTTACGTTATAACATTTTATTTATGTATTAACTTGTTTGTTATTGCTTTCATTAGTAATGTGAGCTAATAATTTCCTCCTGATACTTCATATATTATTTTTTTAAATATTGAGTTGGCAAATAAGTCCTTTCAGTTTTTCTGTTTATTTTTATGCCACTATGATATACTTCTTATCTGATGAATTATTCCCTAGGGTGGATTGTTTATCCTGTTTATAATATGTCAATAACTATATCCGTTAACTCTTGATGAAACTATTTTAGTATTGTGTTTTCTATTGCACTGTGAATATTGAAGAAAATATCATTCATTATCGGCATATTTTGTTGTATTATTTTAAAAAAGATAAGCCTGCTGCAGAAGCTCATAGAAAAATTTACAGTGTTTATGAGGATGATGCCCTAATCGAACTTATCTGTCAAAATTGGTTTGCCAAATTTCATTCAGGAAATTTTGACATCAATGATGCTCAACGGTCTGATCGCATCAAAACGAGCAATGTTAAGGCCATTGTTGATCAAAATCCACCTAATCAGTACGAGAGATTGCTATGGCCCTAAATGTGTCGCACACAAGTGTAGAAAACCATTTCATGTTTCCCGGCTTAATGTTTGGGTTCCTCACATGATTTTTTTTTTTTTTTAAATAACAAAAAAATGTTATAACTTCAATACGACTTTAGCTATCTACTAGAGATTTAGCAGGCATTTAGGGCTACATAAACTAAAAAAAATGACATCAACAGGATCTTTGTAAACAACCTACAAATGGAAATAAAAAACCTATTAGGAGTTTTGTTTGTTTATTCCTTATGTAGGCATTAAATTAAAAAAAAAAATTCATCTGGCTTTGAAGAGCAATAATTCAGCTTTCCAATATATAGCAATCCAGTAACATCGAATTTGGAGAACATCCTTAAGAGTTATGAATGATAGGAAGAATGTTGTGCTCCACCATGACAAGGCTAGGCCCCACACCTCATTGGTCACTCGCAATAAATTATTGAGCCTTGGATGGGACCTTTTGCCCCACCCTCCCTATTCACCAGACCTAGCTAAATAAGTGACTACCACTTATTTTGGTCTCTGCGGAACTCCACGAATGGAAAGAAATTCCAAAACGAAGAGGACATCAAAAACCACCTGGATCAGTTTTTTAACAATTAACTCCAGACATTCTATGAACATGGCATTAAGCAGTTAGTGGAAAGATAGGAAAGTCATATTAAATAATGGTTAATATATTGTAGATTAAAATAAATTTTATGTCTACAGTACATTGAGTTTTATTTCACCTCAAAAAACTGAAAGGACTTGTTTGCCAACCCAATATATATTTTACTGCTATTTCTTCACTATTATTTCCATCGTTCATTGATGTAAACATGTCATTAAATGTTCTGGAATTGTACATTTGTATTGTAATTCTTAGTGGACAAGGCATTCTAGAATAAAATCTATTTTCATTAATTCGTTTTATTTTTTATTCAGATTTTCAAAAACCTGGACGCATGCGTGACTCCTGTTTTAAGCTTGGAAGAATCCATTAATAGTAGATCTGAAGATTTCACGGCAAACACTAATACTCATCTTCCGTTGCCTCTGCCTGAGCCTAGATTGAGTCAAAGTTTTGGTAGCTCACCTTCGAACTCCTATAAATCTCCTCTTGTTGGAGAACACACTGAAGCTGTCCTGCTAGAAGCGGGTTATAGCAAAACAGAAATAAAAGAACTTGCTGAGCAAAATATTGTATATCTGTCACAAAAGTCGAAGTTATAGCACTGGAAGTTATAATAACGGAAAAATCTGAGTATTTAGTCAGATAATGGACTGCAGTAGTCGAATTCCGATTAAAGTTGGCAGTTATTTTACAACCAATTAAGGTTATGGTGGGTTGAGGTGTAAATATTATCTGTTACAGCCGAATCAAAATGAATGTTTTTTGTTTAGGATATATATTAGTCTCAGGGTTTAATGTAACCTATTTCTGCCTCGAAACTATCAAGAACGGTAGGAAAGTAATTCTATAGTGGATCCTACACGGTCAGTCAGAATGGCATTCTGAGGAATGATTGACAATCTGATTGATCATGTAAGGTTAAGATTGATGTATTGATGGATTTCCAGAAATCTGAAATCAAAGCTTCAATAATAAAAAGTGGAGGGAAGACTAGCATAAAAGTGGGGGGAGGATAGTCTACGTTTCGACCTACGATATTGGTCTTCATCGGGGATTTTCTCCAGCAAAGCCACAGGAAGCAACGGAACTGCTGTTGATTGATACTAGTTATCAAATAAATATTATTCCCACATATTATGTGAATGACTGTTGACTAAGCCCCTCCTAATTCCTGACCAACTTCTTAGTTTAGAACCACGAACAATTATTCTCATACTATTAAAAGCTTTATTAATGTTTAAAAAAATATATATTTTTATATGCTAAATTATCACTTAATAAAAATTTGATTACAAATTGTGTATTTGATTTTTTTCAATTTTTCAAAACTATGTGTTTTCTTTTGAATGATTCACTCGTCTTCTACTTCATAATAAACATTAGACAATAATTTAAAATTATTCATTAAATTTTTCTAATACCTTTTGAAAACGGATCATTTTAGGTGATGTATCAACACTGAACCTAAGTAGAGGAATTAGTGATTCATTTGAAAGAATTATAGCTATAGAATTATGACCGAATCCTGTGGGTACATATTTTGAATTATTTTCTAGTTTTTGATGTGTTGGTTATGTATATTATACATCTAAAGGGTGTTTCAGAGTTAAATGGCCAAACTGCAAGAATGAACTAAGGACCTCAAAACGAAAAAAATCTTCCTGTTAAGGTATGTCCGCTAACGCTTGGTTTAGGAGATATTCACACCTAAAAATTTTCATTGTTATGAATTATTTACATTATATGAAATAAATAAAACCTATTTATTTATTCTAAGTACTTTATTAATTAAATGTAAACATTAACATTCATATTAAATATTGTTCAAAGTTGAAGGTATGTCCGCTTTGAATCTTGTGAAACAATAACATATCTGCCACTGCTGCTGTTGAAGAAAGATGCCGAGCCTATCTTAATCTCGAGGAAATCGCTTTAAACAACATTTAATATGACTGTTAATGTTTACATCTAATTAATAAAGTAATTAGAACAAATAAATAGGTTTTATTTATTTCATATAACGTAAATAATTCATAACAACAAAAATCTTTAGGTATGAATATCTACTAAACAAAGCGTTTGCGGACATACCTTCAGAAGAAATTTTTTCTTGTTTTGAGGTCCTTAGTTCATTTTTGCAGTTTGGCCACTTAACCCTGAAACACCCTGTAGAACAAAAAAAAAATTTATATTTTATATTATTAATCCCAAATTGTTGATGTTTTCACTTCTACCATGTGGTCTTAAGAACATAGTGTAGTGTAGTTTTTTCTTTTTACTTTTGCAATACTTTCAGTTAATACATATTTCATGAATAGGTAAATGAAGGTAATAAATGTGTCATTATAAAAAAAATTTCGTTCAACTGAGGCATAAGAAAAAAACACACAATTACAATTTATGAACAACTTTTACTATGTATTGTGTTTCCTTAACATTTTACATGGATGAAATACTACATTGTAACAATACAAAAATTAATAATACACGAATGATAAGTCAATATTGCAAGTGTTGTGTCAATAAATGAATATCAGGGTAACAATAAAAATAATGTATCCTATTAAGAAAACATATACATTCCTTCTTTTTCTTAAATAATATATACTTTTTATTACACTTTATCAGAAATACAAATGAAATACACACATGTTTTTCTTTACATCTATTAACAAATTAAAAAATTAACTATCAAGAATAAAATTATTATTCTGTAATACATTGACACATTTTCTGACATTTTTATAAAGCCATATTTCTACCTTCGATTGAAATAGTAACGGCTCTCTTCGCTTGCTTCAATCGTTTACTGTCAATAAAATTCTTGTAATGTTTCTCGAACCTATTCATTTGTTTTTTAGTTGTCTGAAACAAATAAATAATAATATTTTTAAAATATTATAATGCAATGTAGCTAATAAAATAATAACAAGATATATATCCTTAGTTTATTGCAAAAAGTCATTAATTACATTACTAGCAGGTCTGTGCGAAAAATGTGCACAGCATATTGTTAAGTGATCAAATGCCAAATTAATAAAAAAAGAAAATAATGCTACGTATCATAAGATAAAGAAATCAATTGCTACTTTCTTAATAAATATAATTAACAAAGGAAACAAAAATTAATTTAAAACTTCATTAATGTTTGGAACCAACATGTTTACAAATTTCAATAAGCTGTATCTTTGCTAAAAATTGTCCGATTTTTTTCTTTTTTGTAGGGAATTAAGTCATCTTTTATATAATCATACACATAACCAAGGGAAAAGTGTGATTTTTGAGTTATTCGCAAAGGTTGTGTAGATGTGAATCCTTTGCCTTGCGTTATCTCGAAAATACTACATCTTTGGGCTTAAAAATGTAGGGCTAGATAATTCCGAAGGAACTATCTGGGTCTTGCTGTAAGCATCAAAATCTTCAAAGCCGATTTTGTCCCGTATCGATCTACAGACTTACCACCATCACCATTCCAGTATTGAAGTCTAGAAAAATGTTTGTATCGACTATATTTATTTTATAAAGAAAAACAAAAGCGGAGAGTACAATTCGCTAAATCCCAGTGAAATTATGAATCAAACGGTACCCAATTCATGGTATTTGAGTATGACAGGAGCTTATATTTGGTACGAAATTGATTTCGAGCCTTACTGTAATAATATATGTGGGGATCAATGAGCTGAATTTTTAAGAACGTTTTTGTGATCTGTGACCTTGTATGCGAAGAATTGTCAACCTAAAACCTCTTAGTTGAAGGCAACAGAATATCCGACAGAATCATCAGACAAGGCATTTTTGTCAATCAAGCCGATAGGTCATTACAACCGATGTTATAATCGATATCCGCTACATTGTATGTTTTAAAGAAAATTCATAATAAAAAAAATAATTAAAATATAAACTTACTCTAGTCATATCTACATCAGTCTTCCATTTCGGTCTTACGACATAGTCCTTATTTGAAGGTACTGGTACTCTGGCTCGACCAACCCAGCCTTTATCACCAGGCCGAAGAGCTCTATTAACATATTAATCATTGTATAATTACTTGGATATTATTGTTAAAATATTGTAAAATAAATAAATATAAACCTAAGAACACTATAAATGAGGTACAAGAAATACTAATAAAATTTTAAAAAAATACTAAATAAACAATACTAAAATAAGCTTGAATCTATAAAAGAGAGATAAGGTAATTATGTCATAAATGGAAAATCCAAACTCCATAACCATGAGTCTCAAGCATACAGGTAAATAGTTAACTTGCTAACGTTTCGGCAATTCAGGCTTCATCACGGCAGAAAAATCAAGGTCACTTATATGCAGAAAGAAAAAACAACAATGAAAAATATATACTACTGTAGATATCTTACGAAGCCATCCAAATACAATTAAAATTCTAGTAAATAAATGTTGAACAGTTGAAAGACAAGCTAATCTAATAATGTCCAGGGATGTTTAAATTTGAAAAATAGTTTCACTAATTCAGGGAAAAGAAAATGGCTGCTCTATAGTTTCCCCAAAAAGTAAAATCTCAAAGAAGAGATGGACAAAGGATTTTTGTTTGGCAGAGAGACTAGTTGTTTGAAAATACAAGAGAGAGGATTTCCCAGGAAGCTTGAGTTGAGTAGAAGAAAGTGTCACCATTTTGGAAGATGTGTTCGGCAGAACTTCGGAAAATGTTCGAAGACAAATGAATTCAGTTCCACAAAGGAAGAAACAGTGTATATAGAAAAAAAGGTTAGCTTGTCAATTCATACATGACTTTATCTTAAAATCAGTGTTTAGTGTAGTTAATGTTAGTCTGTCTGAGTGTTTTGATCTGATTGTCAGTAACCCACACCTGAGATAAAATAATTGTAAATTTCAGTTTATTATATTAATCTTATAATTTTGTTTTTTATTTAACGTCTTATTTATTTTGGAAGTATACTAACAGTAAAAGTGATCTTCCGAGGTTATATTATTAATTTAAAAATATAAGAGATATTACAATATATTTAAAGAAAAAAAAGTTATTGCAGTAGACATCTCACACAGATTGGCGATACGTTGCAAAGTTATCTATTCACATGTATATTGGAGACTCGTGACTTTGTTTGGATTTTTCCATTTATAACATAATATACTAGTTGGCTCATGCGAACAATTAGCAGAAAATTTTGGTAAGTTAAGAAATAGCAAAATAATATGGAAATAAGTAGAACCTGTGTATTATGTAAGGAAGGAATTAATTGTTTTTCCTTGGTCAATTACAATAGCCCATTTAACATAATACAAGAAAATATTTGTACAAATTCCTTTACTAGGACCTATTTTTAAACGCTGACTGGAAAGATAATAAAGACAAAATTATGCCCTAATCAGGGGATTTTCGATATTATTAAAAAAAAATAAAATGCAAGAACAAACAAATGTCTTTAAGAAATAATAAAGTTAATATACCATTAGGAAAAAAGTGTAGTAGACTAGACTATTCTACTCCTAAATGCAATATCTTTAAAGAGAAAGACATTATTAAGTATACCAAAACTAATGGGTTGTATCTTTGTTAATAATTGTCCGATTTTTTTTTAGGTAATTTAATAATGTTTCTAATTATCATGGATACAATCCAGAAAAAAATGCATAATTGTTGAGTTATTTGTGAATAAAGTTTATTTTCCTCCATAAGTTTTTTCCAGAAATTCTGGAAGGATAGAACTATTTTTCGCATGTGAAGGAGAAGAATATCTTCAAAATGAGTGGTCAATCATTGAATTTGATGATGAATTGACAAAGTTAGGGCGTACCGACAAAAAAAACATCTTTTAGAAATAATATATAGGATAGAAGAACTGTACTGAGATAGTCGTCATGACAACGACTTCACTTTTCATTATGATGTTTTTGCCTGCCGTTAACTAAAACATTCATAACTCCTCAGGATTTTATCCTAATTCAATGTTTCTACAACCGTTTGAAAGCTGAGTTATCACTCTTCAAGACCGTATAAATAACTTTTTGATTTAACACGTCTATAAAGAGTAAATAAATAAAAACTCTTAACAGGTTTTTATTTTATAATTTGAGTTCTTAATTATTCAGGAAGGCACAGTTTGTGTCATTTCGTGTAGTTTATAAGGCCCTATATCCCTGCATAATTTTGTGTGAATAGGTGAAAGAATATTGAAGTTATAACACTCTTGGTGATTTTCGAAATAAAATCAAAGGGGGGGGGGAGGGAGCCTAAGTTCAAATTTGTAGACTTTTTTTTTTATTTTTCGATTGGGATGAAAATTCGTATTCGAGGGACTTTCGCATTGTGAAATACAAATCTCAACTCTGTTTCTCCTTAAAAAAATATTTCAACACACTTTACTCCTTCCATCACTACAAATTGTTTAAATTATACATATTTCTAATAGATTTTTACAATTTCTTTTTTTTTTTTGTAGATTATTTAGTAATCTTTCTAATTACAATGGGTACAATCTAGAAAAAAATGCATACTTTTTGAGTTACTCGCGAATAAAGTTTCTTTTTCTTCATAACTTTTTTTTCAGAAATTTCGGGAGGGTAGGACTATTGTTCGCATGTGAGGGAGAAGAATATCTTCAAAATGAGTGGTCAATCATTGAATTTTATGAAGAATTGACGAAGTTATGGGGTACCGACAAAAAAACAACACCTTTTAGAAATAATATATGGGATTTTATATTATTTTTTATCAATATGGTTTTATAGTAACTTAAGTTTGTTTTTTTTTTATTCTAAATAATTCTTTCAGCTTATTTAGGTAAAACAAAAAAGAAACGTACTTTTCTTCTCCTGAAAAAGCTTTGTTGATATCCTTACTGGCTTTAGGGCTGGAAGAGCCCTCTTCGGAAACCCTTCTTCTCTTGTTAGGCATTTGTTCAAGATCCCTAGCTTCTCTTTCTTCTTTACTCATAGCTTTATCAAGACAAACAAACAAAAGAAATATATCAAACAAACATTAAATAAATAAAAAAAATAATTATACTACAAAATTATTTAGGCATTTATACATTTAAACTGAAACTCCTTCATAAGGTGGATAAGAAAAAAACACCTGAATACGAGCTAAAAGCATTAGCATTAGAAACCATAGCTCAAAAGTACCCTTCTCAAGATTGGCTCCATATCTATACCGACGGATCAGCTGAATCAGCCGTTAAAAATGCTGGAGCAGGGGTTTACTCAAGGGAATTCCAAATCAGCGCTGCGGTGGGAAAAGATGGAACAAATTTCAACAGTGAGATAGCGGCGATCCTCATAGCCTTAAGAACATTGTCTGGAAGGCAGAATCAGAGCGCTGTTCTCTTCATCGACTCCCAAGCAGCCATCCTTGCTGTCACAAGCACGAATGAATGTTTATCGAGTGCTATATTGGAATGTAAATCCCTCCTCTCTAACCTGACACACCGAGGCACCAATGTGGTCCTACAGTGGATCCCCAGCCATTGTGGGATTCCGGGTAACGTTGAGGCTGATATTCTTGCCAAGCGAGGAACAGATTTGCCTCAGCCGATACATCCAAAACCTTACGACTCAATACGGCGAATGGTGAAGATGGTAGTGAAGGAGGAAATAAGAAAAGTACATTTCGGCAAAGTGGAAGGGAAGCGTTACGAGTGGTTGAAGGATAATCCGATTCCAGCTGAGCTGCCGAGAAGAGATGCAGTTGCCTGCTTCCGCCTGGCTACTGGTCAAGATTATCTGCAGAGTCATCTCTACAAGATAGGCGTCGCTGAGGATCCTACCTGTAAATTGTGTCATCTAGGAACAATGGATGCAGACCATCTAGACGCATGTCCTGCCTTACATATCAGAAAGTCTAAATTATACTGGGCAGCAAGATGTCGGATGGCCAAATGACCAACGACTGGCATAAGAAAAAAAAAAAAAAACATTTAAACTAGGATAATAACATTTATAACTTTAAGAATGAAACAAAATTGTCAAGAATTGATATTTTTATTGAATAGAAGAATGGTTGGGGTGATCGATCAGTCAAAAAAAAAAAAAAGTTCAAAGTTCAGCTCAAAGTTCGGGCCTTCATCTGTGCTAATAAAAAACTAGATAACAGTAGGTATGAGAAACTATAAAAATAAAGTAATTTTTAAAAAATGAATGTGTAGTTGAAAGGTATAGTGTAAAAAATGCAGGTAGAATCAACTTGAAGTAAAATAAAGTAGGTAGAATAATAATGGTAACAGAGAACTAAGACATAAATAATAACGGCAACAAAGTAAGGACTAATAAAATAAACACAATCAAAATAAGGTAACATAAGAAATGAAAAATGTATTAATAATGAAAAGTTATGGAATGTATAAGATAAAAAAAGTAAGTATAGAGAAAAAATAAATGGGGTGACATAGTTGCTAAAACATGATGTAATAATATGCTAAAAGAAAGTGAGATAATCATAGAATAAAATGTAAACAGAGAAAATCATAAAATAAAATGTAAAACAAAGAAAAGGAATATGAAGTTATATAAGGAAATATTAGATGTAAATAGGAAATTGAGATACTGTAAAATCTATCAAAACATACTGACTACTAATACATATCTCCTTTATGTAGTGAGTATGTTTTGATGGATTTTACAGTATCTCAATTTTTTATTTACATCTAATATTTCCTTATATAACTTCATATTCCTTTTCTTTGTTTTACATTTTATTGTATGATTTTCTATGTTTTACATTTTATTCTATGATTATCTCACTTCCTTTTAGCATACTATTGCATCATGTTTTAACAAGTATGTCACCCCATTTATTTTTTCTCTACACTTACGTTTTTATCTTATACATTCCATTACTTTTAGTTGTTAATTCATTTTTCATTTCTTACGTTACCTTATTTTGATTATGTTTATTTCATTAATCCCAACTTTGTTGCCATTATTATTATTTATTTCTTAGTTCTCTGTTACTGTTATTACTTTATTTTAGTTGAATGTTCACTCTATCTACTTCATTTTACTCTAAGTTTTTCTACCTACATTTTTTAGTCTATACCTTTCACCTCTTTATTTTGACTGATCACCCCAACTATCCTTCTCGTGAATTATTCACTACAGTCAACCATCAACCCACAAATATAAAATAAAGATAGTATATAATACTGAAATTTTTTTTTTATTAACACAAGCTTTTTTAAGTTACCTTTAAAATCAGCAGAAAGATTAAATATAGGGCGAGCCCATTCATTTATAAGACGCCCTGCTAACTCTTTATTCTCTTTGGTTTCTTTAGGATGCTTATAGAGATACATAACAGCTTTTCCAATCCCAGAATGTTTCAATGTAGACTGGTCGATAGGAGGAAACTAAAACATACAATGGAAATAAAATATTAAATGAACAATGCATTATACATGAAACATTCATACAAATCTATAAAGATAAATAAAACACTGATGCAGAAATCAAACTTTCTTCCTTCAATAGGAGAGTTAAGGTAAGAGCCACACAGATTCATGTATTAAACAAGGGATGATCTCCTTTCAATTGTAAAGTTATTGTAGATATTACTAATATTATTTCTAAAAGGTGGTTTTTTGTCGGTACATCATAACTTCGACAATTCTTCATCGAATCCAATGATTGACCACTCATTTTGAAAATATTCTTCTCCTTCCATGCGAAAAATAGTCCCAACCCTCTGAAATTTCTGGAAAAAAGTTATGGAGGAAAAGAAACTTTATTTGCGAATAACTCAAAAAGTATGCATTTTTTTGTTGATTGTACCGATGATAATTAGAAAGATTACTAAATTACCTACAAAACAAACAAAAAATCGTAAAATTTGGACATTTATTAATAAAAATACAGTCCATTAGTTTCGGTATACTTAATAATGTCTTCCAGTTTAAAGATATTGCATTTAGGAGTAGAATAGTCTACTACATTTTTTTGTTCCTGGCTTTTATATTAACTTTATTATTTCTTAAAGACATTTGGTTGTTCTTATATATATTTTTTTTTTTTAATAATTTAGAATATCATATGATCAGGGCATTATTTTGTCTATATTACTTTGATTATCTTTCCAGTCAGCTTTTAAAAATAGGTCCAAGCAAAGCAATTTGTATAAATATTTTGGTCTATTATGTTTAATCCAATATTGTAATCGACCAAGGAAAAAATATTATTTCCTTCCTTACATAATACATAGGAACTACTTAGTTCCATATTATTTTACTATTTCTTCACTAAACAAAATTTTCTACGAATTTTTGTTTACGAACGGGCCAACTGGTTGTGAAATAAAAGAACATTTAAATTAATAATAAACATCTTAAAAGTATAAATGATTCGCTATGCTGAATTTACTTTTTTTTTGTTACTTAGGTGATTTCCTGTCGATTGCTCAAAGTGGATGACATGGCATCCTAGTTTGACGAAAGTGTATAACAGGAGTGCCACAGCAATTATATTTAATTTTACTATTTAATATTTAAGGGAAAAATTGACAATGTGCGAATAGACATATTAAAAATAATTAGTAACATAATTACAATTAAAAATCGATCAAATTTAATATTTGTTAAATTTAATAAATAAAATCAGTAAAACTGTGTGAATGAGTTATATAAGTCATATTTTTCTGTTTTACATTTTATTCTAAGATTCTCTTTACAATACTTATGTCACCTTTTTGACTATGCTTACTTCATCATTCCAATCTTTGTACCAGTTATTATTATTTATCTCTTGTTCTTACTATTGTCATTATTCTAATAACTGCATTTTACTGTAATTTTTATGTTTCTCATATCTTGTTAACTGGTTCTTTTCTTAGCACTGATGATGGCCTGAACTTCAGGTCGAAACGTCGGCAAATGACGAAATAAATATTATCATTTATTTTTGCCTTCTTATTTGACTGATTACCCCAACTATTCTTCTCCTCATTATTCACGACAGTCAACTATTTAACCACTATTACGATTTAATAAATTGATGTTGAACAGTTAAAAGGCAAACTAATCTAGTTCTACTAGCGCAGGGAAAAGAAAATTTACTCTGTAATTTCCCAAGAGGGAAGATCCCAAAGAGGAGTGGGACAAAGGTTTTTGTTTTGGCAAGCAGTTGTTGTGTGACTACAGTGAAGAGAGTTTAAGAAAAGATATCCTATCCTGGCTCCAGTAGGTAAAACCCAGTAATCGTTTTACCATCTTAGAAGATCATGTTTGGCAGGGAGAATAGTTGTTTGGAATTGCAAGAGAGAGGATTTCCCAGAGAGCTTGAGCTGAGCGGAACAATAGTGTTACCATTTTGGGATATGTGTTTGGCAGAACATAAGAAAATGAGTGAAGACAAATGAGTTCAGTGCCACAAAGGAAGAAACATTGTATGTAGAAAAAGGTCAGCTTGTCAATTCATACTTGACTTTATTTTTAAACCAGTGTTTAATTTTAATATAAATAGTGTAAATAATAATAGTTTGTCTGAGTTGATCTGATTGTCAGTAACCCACACCTGAGATAAATAAATATATTAATTCTCTTATAATTTTGTTTTTTATTTAACAACCTCTTATTTATTTAGGGAGTATCTCAATGGTAAGAAGTGAGCTTCCGAGGTTATATTATTATTATTTTTAAAATATAAAAGAGGGATGTTACAATGGTTGTAAAGATATCTTCTGTTTAGTCGGGAAACTATGTTATTTACACTCCTGAATCTTAAAACAAAACCCTGGCATTGGATATAGACTTTTTGAGGGTGTTTAACTGTTGTTGGGAATTCGGGAACCTAATACTTTTGTGATAAGAAACAATAAGAATATGTATATGAAATGTGGGACTTAGTAAATACACTTTGAATAAATTGACTCACCTGGTTTGTTATTCTTCAATTGTGAGGCATATAGGACAACTAAATAAAATGACTTTTCACTCCTATATAACAAAACAATTTATTTTGACAACTGTAATAAATGAATCTATTAAAGTGTTATAACTGTAGCCTTGATATTCTTAATGTTCAGTGCAGTAGACTTCTCTTCTCAGATAACGTCGTTCCGCCTTAATGTCCCAGCCTCAAATGTTTTCTCTTCTCACCAGCGTCCTTTTCCAGCTGCTGCTACCTGGCTGGACCTTTTTCCTTCTTCATCGATTGTTTATCGATATGAGACTTTTCAATGAATAATTTGTCCACTGCACAATTGAGTACAATACATCGTGCAACCTCACATTCCTATATATTCCTTCTCATTCCCCCACACAATGTCACATAAAGTAGTAAATACAGGGGGATGTCTACTACATGGTCGATGAGATAATACATAAGTATCCTGTTATTTAATAAACATTAACTTAATATTGAACAAAATAACATACCTCCTTTAATAACCTCAGCACCGATTCCCTGATCCTCAAAGCTGGTAAACTTCTGTCTGGCATAGGAGCTAGCCAATCGGTCAATACAGTGAGCACATTATGTTCAATAAAAGCTAACTGTAAGTCGTGTTTCTTCAGTTGTGACATTACTTTAGGAAGCATGGCAACTTTGTTTGTCGCAGGTTTGGACTGTTGATTCAACAATCTATCTTGCTGTAAAAAAAAAAAAAAAAAAAAATTAAAATTAAAATCCCATATTCCAGTTTTAGAATTAAAATTTTATTTTAAAAAATCTGATCTGTTTTGTGCACCACACAATTTTTCTTTATCCCCTTACTTTGAGAACAAATAGGTAAGTTCACGTATAAATTATTTCAACATATATCCTGAGAATCATGATTATAAATTAATTACTTATTACATATTTTATAGAAAATCGCTGAACAGCAACAATGCATCATAATGCTGTTACTGGTTGTTGTGGTAATCACTGCTATAGGTTAGGTTAATAATGTGAAAATAATGAAAAGGCTTAACGAACCCAAAGGTTCGATGGCGATACCACCGATTGCTTATTAAACACCTCCCTCCACCCTTCGCCGTCCAAAACCAGTCCCTTCAGACCGGCTTTAACACAATCTTCCCACCTTCGCTTCGTTCTACCCCTCGGACGTTTACCATTTGGTACAACAAATATTAACCTTTTAGGAATTCTTTCGTTACTAAGCCCAACAATTTTACAAGCCCATTTGATTCGCTGCGATGTAACCAACTCAATTATATTAAATTGATACAGATCACACAATTCAGCGTTGTGTGACTGTCTGAACTCATCCTTCTTCGGTCCAAATATTCTACATAATACCTTATTTTCAAAAACCTTAAGACGTTGCTCATCCCTTATTGTAAACGGCCATGTTTCGCATCCATAAAGAATGGTAGGTAAGATAATGGTTTTATAGATTCTAATTTTTAAGTTCTGGGGAAGAAGGAAGGAGCTAAGTAGTTATGTCATAGAAAAATAACAAGCATTTCCCGCCTTCAGTCTAACCTTAATCTACTCTTAAATTTTGTTTTTTCTAGTTATCGCAAACCCTAGATACCTAAACTTCTCTACGTGTTCAAACATATTACCTTCTATTACGATATCACTGGCAATATCGCCATTTTCACAGCTAACAATATATTTTTTCTTATCCGTGTTTATTTTGAGCCTTAGTTCTTTACCGGCTTTCATTAACATTGTCGTATTTAGTTTGATAGTTTCCGAGTCTTCGCTTAACAAGACCAGATCCTCTGCATAGCTAAGCACGGGTGTTGTTTCACCCACATCCAATCCTTTTTAGATACGCATTACATCCCTAATGGCATGTTCTAATGCCAAATTGAACAGGACAGGCGACAGGGAATCATCTTGTTTTAAATCCGAACGAACCTCAAACTTTTCGTATAAATTATTATCGATTCTATCTTTATTGAGTGTTTCCGTCAAGCACATCCTAACTAAATTTAATAATTTTTTTGGAATCCCTTGCTCGATTAGAATATTATACAGTTTCAGGTGGTAAATAGAATTGTATAGGTTAGGTTAGATTAGGTGAGCAAAATGGTGCCGTCGAGGACAGGCCTTGAATGTTAAAGAAAGAGGCCTATTACTTATATAAGGTTTAAATTACACTTTTAATATCGTGGGTGATAAGATTTTAAATAATAAAAAAAAGTTCCATATTTAACTGAAAATTGAAATAACAGCGTTTCTTAGAAGTACAGTCGGGATTGAGGGCATGCTTTGAGTCCACCATAGTGACACCGATCTCACTGCCCAACACCCTACCCCTACCCTGTGATACTAACAGGCCACTGCAGACTTATGAGACATCTAAAGATTAGCGGGATAGTTGACTGTATAACAGAATTCAACCGATCTGCGTCGCTTAGAAATAGGGTTCTGGATTTGGACAGAATCCTAGAACAGGAAGCTTTCTCCATAAAATGGCCATCCCTTTTGAACTTCATTAGAAGAACGAAAAGATTATAGACAGAGATAGGGATGAAATAGACTACCATTGGTATTATCGTCTCTGGAAAAAAAAAAAAAAAAAAATTATACTGGAAACTTACATCAGCAGCACCTTTCATATCGGCCAGTAGTTGAGCTATTATATCATCGTTGTCGTTAATTATGTCAATATCTTTACGTCTTCTCCGTTTCGTTTGTTCTCCCTTCTTTTTCATCAGCATTAAATCAAAGTCTGAAAGTCCGGACATTTCCCTAATAACATAAAACATGGTTAAAATAATAAGACAAATAAATGTATAAAACAATCTTTAAAATATCACTAACACTACATGTTTTAAGTGAAAAAATGATTACGTAAACTGATAAATTATTTATTCTTTTTAAAATATTTGATATATGAACCATTTTCTTCAAAAGTGGTGGAAATTCATTTTTGACAAAAAGTTAGTTTATTTTTATTTTACTGATCAACTATCAAATTACTTCATTTAAAATTCTATCATACCGATAATTAAATATATGATGAATAATAAAAATGGAAATAATTTTGGCAATATAGATAAAATATGACATAGATAGAGAAGTTAAACATATGAAACCTATAATATAATGGCAAAATAAATGGTAATTTAAGAAAAAAATAAAAACTAAACCAAGAATTAGGTCGGAGGATTACGTTTGGTTTGACCTAATTATTTGGTTTAGTTGTGAATTCAAGTGATTCAAAGAAGGTCGATATAATGAAAAATGATAGTGATGTTGCCATCAAATCTTCCACTATGGGGTGTATAAAATTAAAATTAAAATAAATTAATATAAATACATACTTTAAACATATAAAATATTTATCAATAATTATAACTCTCAACTGAAGTATTACAATAAGCTTGGTTTTAATTCTTTTCGTAGTAAATACAAATTGTCGAATATAAATAATGAAAACTCGTTATCATCATACATCCTAAACCATCATACCCTCTGTGAAACAGCTGATAGATTCTCTAATCATATTAAAATTTATACTGATGCTTCTAAGACAATCAATACATGTTCAATAGCGATTTATGACCAACAAAAAATAGTTCAATCTTTCTTCTCATTCCCAAAAAATTTCAATATCTTCTATAGAACTTCTTACACTGTTTAAGGCTGCAGAACATACTAACCTCAACTACAAAAAGTGTAATATTGTCATTCTCACAGATTCAGCCTCCGTTTGCCAATATCTACAAAAGACACACAGAACCCCAATTGCTAATTATATTTTATATGAAATTCTTGATTTAATTGTCACATCAAGCAATAAATTTTCATCCCAGTGGGTACCAGGGCATGTGGGACTACACGGAAATGAAAGGACTGATCAAATTGCTCGAGATACCACCAAATCAATAAGAATTAATTCTAAAGTCCCTAAAATAGACATTTTCCGTTTACTAAGCAAAACAACTGTCAATGAATGGCAGAATTTAAACAACTGTGAGTCTCAAAATAAAGGGAGAGGAGACCACTATTTAGTCCATCTATCGGACTATGTTTGGAAGTGAGGTAGAATCTAATGGAAGAAGTGAGCTGACAAATCTATTAATGTTAAGAACCAATCATCGAAATACAAAGTAATTCTTAAATTTTATAAAAATAAAGGCGAGGAATATAGCATCTCCTCGTATATCATGATACAGAGGCTTAAGTGGTTTGGACATGTGACGAGGATGAACGAGGAAAGAGTGGCTCATAAATTGTACATTAGCGTTCCAAATGGTGTGTACCAACGTGGTAGGCCGAAGGGCCAATGGAGGGATACTGTGGGGAAGGATCTGTGATAACTTAGGATCCCTGTTACCCTTACCGAAGTGAGAGAGAGAGATGGTTGGCAGCTGTTGAGCAGGCCAGGGGCAATTTCATGTCTGTTGTGCCAATAAAAGAAGAAGAAATTGTGAGCTATTTGATGAAGTCGAGGATCCAAAACATTTAGCGATATGTTGTAAGCGGTTTAACAATGAGAGGAGGAAATATATCGAGAGGTCGGCACTCAATATTACTAAAACAATAAAAGAGCAAGATAGAGAACACAAACAACTTAAAAAATTCGTAACAAATTACGGTTTTAATAATTGAATAAATATAAATTTCTGGCCGAATAGGATTTTTTGTAAAATCTTAACGCCACAAAAAAAAAAAAAAAAAAAAAAAAAAAAAAAGGCTTAAACATTAAACAAGGGTCTAATTGACTGACAGATGGTTAACGGTAGGTCAAAATGGGTGATATTTTAAATATTAATTTGGTATTGTATTAAAAAAATAAAAAATTAAAATTGTTTGTTGAAAAGCAGTCATTTTTTTTTTTAATATGTTATTATTATTATGACATTTAATATAAAAAATACTTACTCTCTATCGACTGGTCTTTCATCGTCGGACTCGTCTGATATCTGTGGTAGAACCTCAGGGGCAGCGGTCTTTTCTTGGTCATCAGTCTTTTCCTCATTTTCTTTGGAAGCCGGTCCTTCTTCTTCTTCCTCCTCCTCCTCTTCTTCATCATCAATTCCAACTTTTCTTTTCTTTTTCTTAAATAAATTAAAATCTCTCGATTTAATATAATAAAAAAAAACTTTTATTATATCTATAAAATAATATAAAATAAATATAAAGGCAGGGTGTCCCGTAAGTAACGGGAAATATTTAAACAAGTGATTGTAGACCTCAAGAGATACAAAAAATGTTTATATAAAAAATTGTCTGATTTTCTGCATAAAAGTAATTAATCTAAGATTGAGGTTTTTAAAGTAAATCACGTTTTATGTTGAATAGGAAGGGATAACTAAACAAATATTTAATTTTATTAATTAACAATTATTTCACAGTTAACCAGACAAAATTTACTTCAAACGAGAGAACTACAATAATATTGCACAGCTTCTCAGCTGTATTGAGTTGCTAAATCACACAGCATATTCAATCAATCAACAGATAATATAAACAAAAAAATTAAGAGAGAGTTCGGTGGGACCATTACAACAGCTAACAGCTAAGAACAGCATACAGGATCAAATAAGCGAAAGCCAAGATCAATCAATATATCTGGTGATGGAGGATTCCCAACGAATCTAAAATAATAGTTTCTGACATGGTCTGCATCAGCTCCCTTCCAACACCAAGCCTCTGCAAGAAATGGTAAAAAGAGGGATGGTTCCCCAGCTTCCGAACCATAGCCCTTTAACTGATAATTCATATTCGTCGAATTCATCTCAATACTTTTCCTTTAAGTAATATATGGATTGCTTATAGATATCCTCCTTCTCTGTCTGTATCCTGAAGTCTTGATCCTGATCGTTCGTTTCAAATCTGATCATGAGATTCACTATTGGTGCCTCTTTTTCCATCGCATTGAATGCTAGAATGTCGACGAACCTAGTTGAGCCTTCCGCATCCAGGTAATAAACCTCGAGGAAACATCTATATTTCTTCATTTCAAGAAATTTGGCTATTCAGTGTTTTATATTATTACAATATATTGTAAATAACCTGTTTCGGGGACCACTGTAAATATTCCTGTTAGGTGACAATTGTAAATATTCTTAAAACAAAACCCCGGCACTGGATATGGACTTTTGGAGGGTGTTTAACTGTCGTTAGGAATTCGGGAACACTTGATACTGAGTGACAAGAAATAATAAGAATATATATGTCGGAAATGTGGTACTTAGCAAACACACTTTGAATGAATTGACTCACCTTATTTGTTATTCTTCTGTAAATAACCTGCTTAAAGTTAATTTTAAATAATTTGTTTTGGCAGGGATAGGCGAATAGCCTTCCGCTTTTGTATATTGGGGAACTAGGTTATTTACACTCGTGAATATTAAAGCAAATCCCCAGCACTGGATATAGACTTTCTGAGGGTGTTTAACTGTCGTTAGGAATTTTAGGAATACCTTTTGTGACACTGAATGAGAATAAACAATAAGGATATATATATATATATATATATATATATATAATGTGGGACTTAGTAAACACACTTTGAATGAATCGACTCACCTGGTTATTTATTCTTCAATCGTGAGGCATATAGGACAACTAAATAAATAAATGACTTTTCACTCCTGTATAACAAAATAATTTATTTCTACAACTGTAATAAATTGACTCTATTAAAGTGTTATAACTATAGACTTGATCTTTTAAATCTTGTAGTAGACTCTCTTCCCAGGTATGTCGTTCCGCCTCAAGTATCCTCTCTCTTCTCTGGCGTCTTCCTCCAGCTGTCGCTAGTTACCTGCTCTGACCTTTTTCCAGCGTCCTTCTTCATCGATTGTTTATCGATATGAGACTTTTCCATGAATAATTTCTCCACTGCACAACTGAGTACAATTCACAGTGCAACCTCATATTCCTATATATTCCTTCTCATTCCCTCACACAATATCACATAAAGGAGTAAATACAGGGGGCTATCTACTACACTTCAATTGTGAGGCATATAGGACAACTAAATAAAAGGACTATTCACTCCTGTATAACAAAATAATTTATTTCTACAACTGTAATAAATTGACTCTATTAAAGTGTTATAACTATAGACTTGATCTTCTAAATCTTGTAGTAGGCTCTCTTCCCAGGTATGTCGTTCCACCTCAAGTATCCTCTCTCTTCTCTGGCGGCTTCCTCCAGCTGTCACTAGTTACCTGCTCTGACCTTTTTCCAGCGTCCTTCTTCATCGATTGTTTATCGATATGAGACTTTTCCATGAATAATTTCTCCACTGCACAACTGAGTACAATTCACAGTGCAACCTCATATTCCTATATATTCCTTCTCATTCCCTCACACAATATCACATAAAGGAGTAAATACAGGGGGCTATCTACTACACTTCAATTGTGAGGCATACAAGACAACTAAATAAAAGAACTTTTCACTCCTATATAACAAAACAATTTATTTTGACAACTGTAATAAATGAATCTATTAAAGTGTTATAACTGTAGGCTTCTCTTCTCAGGTAACCTCCTTTCTTCCTGTCCTGGCCTTGAGTGAGTTCTTCTTTCTTCTCGAGCTGCTGCCACTTACCAGCACTTTTTCAAACTTCTTCCTTTCTTTGTTCTTCCAGCGTCCTCTTTCATCGATTGTTTATCGATTTGATACTTTTCCATAAACAACTTGTCCACTGCATAATTTAGTACAATTCATAGTGCAACCCAACATTCTTATACATTCCCTCACTGAACAGCATATAAAATAGTAAATACTAGAGGCCATCTACTACAATATGAGCTGGGGTTTCTGACTCGGCCACATTTGAGACAGAGTAGTAAATGGGTGATGATAAAAAATACTTCATAATTTGCAAATAATGCATAACTTTTTTAAAAACCAGAATTTAGTTTATTCGCTCAAAAATTCTCTTTAAATGGTTGTAACAATGACAAACTCAACTTTTATTTAAAGTAAATTTTGTCCAGTTTACTGTGAAGCAATTGTTAATTACTTACATTAAATATTTTTGATTTATCACTCCCTATTCAATAAAAAGCATGACACTTTATAAAACACAAAACTTGAATTTCTTACTTTTCTGCAGCAAATCAGACAATTGTTTAATGTTAAATAATTGTTACAGTTGTGTTGTTTAATGAAAAATTCTTTAGAAACTTTTTTTGTGCAGATTGAGAGTTAGATTGAGCCGTCAGATCTCCAATATGTAATACTTGGGTAAAGTCGGCTGAAATCGACTAAATGAAGTGTTTTTGCATATGGTTTAAAAGATCTTGTAAACTAAAAATCAGACCTGTTTACTGTAAGCCAGGGAAATGTTCAACATTTCATCCTCTTTATAATGAGCTATTATTCAAAATTGTATCTTAACAAGAAGCCGTATTAGAGAGGCGAAAAGGAAAAAAATAATGTCAAAAACTATTGAAGATACGGATTAAAATATCTCAGAAACTAAAAATCGGACCTGCGTAGAGTAAGCGGGGGAAATATTCAGCATTTCAACCTCTTTATAATGAGATATTATTTATAATTTATATTTCATATTATTAATCTTGCCTTGATATTTTCACTTCTACCATCAACCATCTAAAGCACAAACCTTCGTTTTAAAAAATTTGTTGGACCTCTTGAGGTCTGCATTCATCCCTTTAAATATTTCCTTCTTACGGAACACCATAAGCAATATAGATTATACAGGTTAGCGAAAGTAATACAGGCTTTGAATTGGTAAAATTAAAAGTAGTATTTGTTTGGTTTTGCGAGAAAATAGGAAATAACTTGACCAGTTTGCTATACTTACAGCACTGCTTTCGCCATCTGTTTTCTCATCTTCTTCTTCCGAATCACTAACAACCTTTCTCTTCTTTTTAACAGCTATTTCCTCATCACTGTCGCTATCTCCACCTGTTAAGAGGTTTCAAAAATAAAAATAAAATAAATCGCAAGTAGCACAACAGAGTTGCAGTGGAGTGGGTGCCAGGTCACTCTGGCATACCAGGCAACGAGGAGGCTGATGAACTAGCCAGATTGGGCTCAGATACTATTCCTATAACTCCCGAGCCTGTCTGTGGAATCAGCCTCAGCACTGCCAAGGGCAGGATCAGGGAGATGTATGGGAACAAATTTAGTAATTACTGGACCGACAAGAAACAGAGACATTCAAAGCTGTTCCTTGAAGGTCCATGTAAAAAAAGAAGTAAACAGCTACTGAACATGGACAGAGCAGCCCTTAAAAAACTTACAGCGATCTATACAGATCACTGTAAGTTAAATAATCATATGTTCAATCTCCGAGTAATGATGAATCCGCTATGCAGATTCTGTCAGGAGGAGAATGAAACAGCTTTTCACATCATATGCAGATGTGATAGATTTATAAGGCTGAGACTGGTGGTATTAGGGGAGGAACAGATGGATCTCCCCAGAAGATATGAGTCGGTCAATCCAACCAGCCTACTTAGATACGCGGAAGCGACGGGATTAACGTTTTAAACAAAACGACTAACTGAAATTGGCGCACAATGGACCCAGTAGGGGTCGACGTGCTTAAGGCCAACAAATATAAAAAAAAAAATCATAAGTACGAGGTTTTTAAAAAAGTCCTCGTGCATAAGTATAACTCTATTTTATAATATGTATTTAAACATTATTGAACACTACTCTTGAAAGTTATGTCCATTGTTTTCAACTACTTTCACCCATCTTTCTGCCAGTAATTGGATTTGACGCTGGTACCACTCCTTTGAGGCAAAGAACTCTTCACGTCCAATTTTTATTTACATCCTCGTAAAGATCCGATGTTTCAAAGAATGAGTCATTGATCTAAATAAGCCATAACCTGATAGTAAAATATCTGGGTTATAGGCAGTGGTTGGCCAAAGTATGGTTTCCATTTAAATTTCCCGCGTTACGGTGAGTGGTGGGGGCAGATCTAAAAGATAAAAGATAACACTTAAGCTTTGAGAGAGACTGGTTGACTCGAAGCCACTACTTGACCAGCATTCAACCAGCAAGGACCGACGGCAGAGAGCACTCTAAAAAGGTATAAAAGATGTAGGCTGGTATATAGACGATAAGCTATTTTTTTGCACAATCATTGACCTACCAATCCCTTAAGATACAGTCCACTGCTTAAAACTAGAATGTTACCATAAAATTTATAATGTTGCCTTATTGAAACTCATGAGTTATTTTGCCATAATTGTAAAAGTTGCCTAATAATGCAGCAAAATATTGATTGAAATTAAATTATAGAATTGATAACTTTTCCTTAGTTAAACGAGGACGATGTGCAGGGGCATTGCCATGTTGTAAAATGGCTTGGTTCCTGTCGGCCAAAGCAGACAAAATTTTGCACTCAAAACTGCATAATCTCTGCCTAGCAGTTTACACTAAAGGTTTGAGTTCACGGTTACCATCAGAAACAAGTTCAAAAGTAAAAACACCTTCAAAATTTTCCTAAACACAAAGCATCAGTTTTTTTCAAACTGATCTTGCCAAACCTCAAATTGGTGCAGAAAGCTCGATTCTTGAGCCTAGCAATGTGGTTGGGATCTGGCCTGAGCAAGTTGAGCTTTATTTCATGATGGATTCACAGAATTAATCTCGACTTTCCTACTATGGTTAGAATATGTATGTTCGAACATCTAGAACAAACACCTCCCTCTGCCGTACGCCAGAAATGTTGAGGTAGATGGCAAAAAAAATTATTTAATTACAGACAGAAAGACATGGAATCAAATTTGTTCCTCGATGTCCAACACATAAAACGTGAATACAAATTTTCTATTCTGTGAACAAAATGTTTTATTAACTTTCCGAACAAAGCATCCCTATCTTCGGTTGCAAGAAAGCGAAATAGCTAAACAAAGCACAAAACTTTTTGACTTTATCAAAGGAAAAATTCATCACATTTCTTAGATATTTAATTTTCTAAAATGTTACGTAATAACTTTTTGCAATAAACTGATATATTGAACAAAATGTTAAAAATTGCAGATAGATTATATTAAATCCCTCAGATAAATTAACCTTTTAGCGACAATAAGTGAGAATGGTGGAGGTCAGAATACTTTTCATCACCTCTATTGACAAATTTCAAGTTTTTATTTAAGGCATCGTACAAAAACGCCCACTTCCTTTAATATCATCTCAGTTCTCTGTAAAAACAGCCCATTAAAAACGAAAAAGTTATACCAGAAGAATTAAGATCATTGGCTCTTGAAACATTATCCCAGCCCTCCATGGATTCATGTGTACACCAATGGGTCTGCCGAACAACCAACACAAAATGGAGGGAAAGGTGCATACTCACAGCTGTTTCCCATTTCGAAACCTGTTGGGCCTCAAATTTAATGTTGGGCGCTGCAAGCCTTGCCAAACTTGAGATGTCAAAAACATTGTATTCTTTGAGGATTCACAGGCGCTATCCTTGCTGTATCACTATATCGCTGTATCACTATATATCGCTGTATCACAACCCAGTGATTCCTTTGCTCAAGACGTACTGAAGTGCCAAAAGACCATAGAGAGACTACTTCTTCGAGGAAGAAAGGTAACTTTTCAACGGATACCAAGTCACTGTGGTCTCCATGGCTACTAAACCTGTGAAAGAAGACTCGACATTGAAATAGCCAGGAACTCTGATATCGAGCTAGAAAGGGAATAAGGCAGATGAGGCTCTACTGCTGGATCCATAAAGAGCAGTATTGTGGAGAAAAAAACAGAACGAGTACCCATAAATCTGCCAAGAAAGGAAGCTGTGACACAGTTTTGGATGATAACAGACCACGACTACCTTCGGAAACATCTGCATAGAATAGGAGTAGCAGACTCACCACCTTGCCACCTATGCAATTTGGGATTACAAATAGATGCAGCGCATATTTAAGCGTATGCTCTCGCTTATTAAATTTCAGAGATACTATGTCATCCAAATCGGAATGGTATTTGTCTCCGAGGTCTCTAATGGTGGTAGCCGATAAAGAAAGGCATAAAAAAAAACGTGAAGAAAGCACTAATAAAAAAAAAATGCCCATAATCTCCAGTCACTGAATAATTACCTACTGCCTCATGAGAAGACCGTACGATGGTTTGAAAGTAGAATTTATCACTGAGCATGTTTTAAGTTTAATTTTTAAAGAGAATGAGCCTGTCACGTTTCCAACTCATATGATTTGACTTGGCCTAATTCCATCTTGACCCATTTATAAACCTACTGTTGTATGAAAGGGTTAATCAAACATTTATCAACTGTCTAAATGGGGAGAATTTTCCTATTATTAAACATATTTTTTATTAATTATAGTTATAATGTAACTATAACTATTAATAATAAAACTTTACCTGCTTTTTCTCGATCCGATTCCTCACTATCTACAATAGAATGTCTGTCTTCAACATCAGAACCTATAATTAATAATCAAATAAAAAAAAATTAAGATACACAATTGTAAGACAATAGAAGGCAAAGACTTGACACTAGACTATTTGTGATTTTGATCAAAATAAAAAATTACATTAAATAGTTGCTTAGAGAACTTTATTAAGAAAACAATATTATCAAGAAAATCTCGCTCAGGACTTTCTTGGTGAACAAGACCTTCCCCTTCACAAGGAGGAGTTCCTGTATAAAATATTTCTAATTTAAATTATAAATTTTTTTATAGTTTTCCTTGTTAAAATGCAGAAAACATGTCAGGTCGTATCTAAATAGATCTGCAGAAGTGATTCAACTAGTGGCTTAATATGTATTTTTACTAATCTAATTTTAATCCAATCTTAAGAAAATAACTAATTAAGAAAATAACTAATAAGAAAAATTACATTTTTTGAGACTTTATATTGAAAAAAATGAATAATATATTTATTGTGCGGTAAAGAATGAATAAGAAATTTTAATTTAATTTTATATGAATATATTTAAATGAATTTAGGAAATACCTTCTTTAGAATCAGCCTTCTTTTTCTTCTTCCTCCTTACAGTGATAGGAGATCCCTCTCTGGAACTTGAGCCTCCATCTGTATTATTCCCAGCAGTATTTTCTTCTTCACCTCCACTCTTCTTAGGAGAACCGGAAGCATTATTTTTACTTTTCTTATTAGATGAACTAGATCTTGACCGAGACCTTGAAGAACTTTTTGATCTTGATCTTGACCTTGAAGCTCTAACAGAACCACTTTTAGAACGAGACCGAGACCTGGAACGGGATCTAGACTTGGAATGAGATCTAGATCTCGATTTAACAGATCCACTCTTAGAACGTGATCTTGATCTGGCTTTTTCTGAACCACTTTTGGAACGTGATCTAGACCTCGATGCCCTAACTGATCCACTTTTGGAACGTGATCTAGACCTTGATGCCCTAACTGATCCACTTTTGGAACGTGATCTAGATCTTGAAGCCCTAACTGATCCACTTTTGGAACGTGATCGAGACCTTGCCCTATCAGATCCACTTTTGGAACGTGATCTAGACCTTGCCCTTTCAGATCCACTTTTGGAACGAGATCTAGATCTTGATGCCCTAACTGATCCACTTTTGGAACGTGATCTAGACCGTGATGCCCTAACTGATCCACTTTTAGAACGTGATCTAGACCTTGATGCCCTAACTGATCCACTTTTGGAACGTGATCTAGACCTTGATGCCCTAACTGATCCACTTTTGGAACGTGATCTAGACCTTGAAGCCCTAACTGATCCACTTTTAGAACGTGATCTAGACCTTGAAGCCCTAACTGATCCACTTTTGGAACGTGATCTAGATCTTGATGCCCTAATTGATCCACTTTTTGAGCGAGATCTACTTCTAGATTGAGATCTCGAAGGAGATGGAGTCTTGGAATGTGATCTAGATCCTTGACCAGAACCACTAGCAGACCTAGATCGAGATCTTGAGTGAGACCTGGATTTTGAACGTGACTTCCTAGAGCCACTTCTTGACCTAGAACCACTTTTAGAGCGTGATCTAGACCTCTTGACAGAACCACTAGGAGACTGCGATCTTGATCTTGATCCTCGGACAGAACGACTCCTGGAAGGTGATCTGGATTGTGATTTCCTTACTGAACTATTAGATGGAGATCGTGATTTCGAACCCCTATTCGATCCACTCCTGGAACGAGATCTTGATCTTGAACCTGAAGAAGCTCTAGATCGACTTCTCGATCTTGATCTATCACCAGAACCTGCTCTTGAGTTTGATGCAGATGAACGGCCTTTTGATACTGACCTTTCTCGTGAACCAGATTTAGATTTACGACTAACTGGAGAATTACTCTGGCTTGATTTGTTATCAGAGTTAGAACGTGATCTAGAAAATTTATTTGTAGAGTCCCGAGAGCGTGACCTGGAACGTCTTGAAGATGCTGGGCTAGGCTCAGATCGGTCATCTGCAATTTCAAGTCCATTGCTGCCTAAGGGACTAGACTGTAATTCTTCTGAAAATTAAGATAAACAAATAAAATTAATTGATTGAATTTACTAGGATATGTATATATCTATATCACAGATATAATTAATTGAATAAGAAGATAACATATGTGACAAGAACTATATAAGAAGTTAAACAAATTTGATTAAAACCATTAATTGAGATTTAAAATAGAGTAATATACAATTAAATATGATTTACAAAAAACATAATTCAAAACACAAATAATTATCAACATACCTTGAACATCCATAATTCAAAATATTTACAGTAATGAGTGATATCTATCTCAAATTATAAATACACAAAAACCACATTATTTAAACATTTTTAAAAGTGTTGAACGTTTGTTTACAACAATCACAAAAAAATTAACTTAAGAATATGAAAAACATTTTTAAATATTTAAGAAAATATATAACGCTTCACACATGGAAATACAAAAGGAAATAAACAAAATAGCCTATTGGCAGTAACAAAATTATTATCACCAAACAAGTAATAGCTAAACCGAAAACTCAATCGTTCATTACCAAATTTCTAAACCAGAAATAATTACACCAATGCAACAAAATCCAAAGAGAAACTCTAGCTAAAATGATCCAAGCCTCTACAAATGCAAAAGAATACGCTAACTCGAAACGCCAATCTTGGTGACGTCATACCATTCCTATTAACTTCCAAACACAATTTATAAACCTGTTTTGATCTCTATCACTAGCGGATCCAGGATTTAATTTTGGGGGGCAGGGCTTCAGCCCAATAGCTTTTTTTTTTCATAAAAATAACGATAATTACTTTGGAAAAAAAGGAATAAAACTAACTACCTATATGAAATAGTGATTAAGTGATACCTAAAGTCATTTTAAATGTAATTACACGAACAATAATACTTCAAGAGATAAATTTTTTATATTTTATTTACAACATGGTTATATTTTACCATTTCAGGGGAAGGGGCTTCAGCCCCAAAGCCCCTCCCCGTAGATTCGCCCGTGATCTCTATTGAATTATATTAAACTAAATATACCTAATTCGTTTTATTGTTGAATTTAGGTTGCATCAAACATGTATAAATTTTAGTTAGATAAACTTATCTTTTTTTCGTATATTTAAATTTTTAAACTTTCTTTTCCTAACGTAGCTAGGACCTTACTCTTCCTGATTTTGAAGGTCATTATTTTCCGTTACAGCTACTCCACCCAGTTACAGCTTTTCTTTGGAGCTCGAGCCTACTATTATGGTAGGACTATATAAAAAGAAGTTGTATGTGGGTACAACTAAAGATTAAATTGAATAACATACAAAACCTTTATGATAAATAAAGTAGGATTTCTAGAAAATATTAAATTTTTTAATGTATATCAAAAATAAAGAAAATATGACACAACGTCATGATACCTATAGATAAATATATTAAGATTAAGATACCTTTAGTTAAGTTACAACAATGTGAAATTTAAAATAAACACGCTAACCATTATAAATAATTTTATGACATCTAATTATGAAATCCATATTCCAAAATATCTTAACTACATTATTTTTCTTAAGTTACGTTTTGAGTGATGATAAATGTATTAAACTTCGAACTGATTCAAAACTTTTTTTAAGAAACAAAATTTAATTGATTGGTTTTGGAAAAGAGAGTTGGAAAAACTAAAAACATTATCATTTTTTAAACCTATCCCTAGAGAACCTACGTAGGTGACGTCGAAAGTAAAGTGATACCCTCTTCTGAACGGATACAATCGTTGTTTCTTTTCAAGTGTCTCCTGAATATTATCATGATACCTATTTTATATTTTAATTCTTTAAAAAATAGCTCAGCCTGGTCCAGTTTTTTTTTTTTATGGCAACTTTTCGTTTATGGCTCGCCTTGATAACACTCAAGAAATAATAAATGTCCCTGTTTACTCCAGTCTCCCATTTTCAAAATGACTCCTAAAATTACAGATAATTTAATTAACATCCACGGCTCATCAATCAAACAATACAAATAGAAAATAAATTAAATAATATGCCTGATTAACAGCGACAATAACGGTAATGCTGAACTACCCCTTTGCTTCCTCACTACCGAAGGTAGGGAAGCATTGTGTTCGAGCGAGAGCTTGAAAGCAATTTTGTGCTCAGGATCGAAAATTTCCACTCGCGTTTTACGTTTCAGACATCAAGGATCAAATTTGGTTCGGTGACTGTCTGTGTGTAATCAAATCGATGTGACGGGCATATCACGGGCAGTACTGTACATCTAATTTTCAGGGAATGTGCAGATTGGTACCTAGATGGTCCCATATCAATTTTATCAAATTCCATCCATTTGGAGAATAGTATAGAAATTTCCTAGTATGAATTTCATTGAATTCCATTTAATAATTAAAATTAATATAAATAATTTTTTTTTTTTCCTACCCCCCAGGAATTTCTTGAATAAATACAGTATGTATATAAATGTATATATACATAAATTTTCAACTTTCCTTTTATTGCCCAAGGGCATTTTAAGGTAAGAGGGCTCTGCACGCTGTATGCGTTCTTTGCATCTGTGGCCAGAGGCTTTTTATTATACCACTGGGCGTGGAGGGACCGCCCTAAAAATAATTTTTAACAATATAATGCTACTGAAATGTGAAAGGCGCTGATCATATGGAGTGGGAGTTAGGTTATGACAATATATTTATGGGGTTATAAAATTTTAGGTTTTATTCAAAGAGTTAATTTATACTATATTGTTTTTCGTCGATTCCAAACGTTACTTAGATTTCATGTCATTTTCAATAAATTTAAATTATTTTTTACTCTGAGTTTGTAAAAAATAAAAATCTTATTTGTGATTGTGTTTATTTCTATTGAAGTTCAGCCAGCTTGTCGTGGTACCTTGTTTATGTGTGATTTTTACATTCCAGCTTATATAGTTTTATTCTGACTGAAGAAAGTATTGGTCTCGTTAACTCTCAAAAAAACAAAAGGTTTAGTTTTTCTTATTTCTCTTATGGAGTTTCTGTAACACCTATTTTACGAGTGAAAACATACCGATTAAGTACCTATTACTAGTGCAAAAGGTCGTAAGCATTCTGCTACGATGAAAAATAGCAGAGAGCAATAATTTTTAATTATACTAATAAATCATAATGAAATAATTAGTTTTTATGCTTTCCTATAAAACACTTAATGTTTACATTCGACTTTTTGCACTAACAGTAGTGATATTCATGTGTCGTCGTACGCAATGCAAGCCAATGCAAACTGTGAGGAAGCTATACTGACCTTCCTTGGCAGACGTTTTTGATTTATCTTTATCCACAGCAGATGGAAAACACAAAAACAATGAGACAAACACTAAAATAAGGAATCAATCGTTTAAATATTTGGGCTTTTTTAGTTTGTGAAATGTCCAAACGAACCCTTAAAGGGAAAACGTACCTTAATTTTGGGGGGACGGGCTTCAGCCCGAAAGCTTTTTTTTCATAAAAATAACGATAATTACTATTGTTTCTTAAGAAAAAAAAAAACGACCATTTAATTTGTTTGCCCAATGTTTGCGAATATCTAAATGCACAATGAAATTTCTAAACGCACCTTTATATTGCTCTAAACAAGCTGTATCTTAAATACGGTCCGCAAGTACCTTCAGCCTAGTTCGCGAACATTTCTTTGATAAGATTGTAAAATTTGAAATCTATTTAAAAATATGATATTTAGTAAGCTAATCACATGCGAGGCTACTACAACATTTATTACATGGCTTTTTTCTTTAAGAAAGCTCATTTCACATCTGAAGTGGCATTTATAAAACACATTGTTTTTTTCATCACTAGCCATAGCCCGCGGTACGTTGGTGGACATCTCAATGCCAAAAAGTTTGTAGACCCCTGCTCTTAACTACTGAGAAAAATTCATGAAATAGAGAATGCATGTAAATAGCGTCACACACATAAAATATATATTTTATTTTACACTTCATATATATATATATATATATATATTCATGAGATCGGAGTGGCCAAGCGGGTTAAATCGTATGGTGAAATGCACTGGCCTATAGACTCAAAGGTTGTGGGTTCAATGTCCGGTACCGAAACTCCACAGGCAATGATTAAAAAATTTAAAAGAAATAAAAAAAAACGCTAGTTTTCCATTTACACGATATCTGTAGCGCACGGAGGTTTTGTCCATGGACAAAATGCTCCAGGGTAAGAAATGGCAAGGACGCTTTCACGTGCATCCGCTGATTCTGGACAGCCATAATTCAAGGATCTAGACTGATTTGTCACTTTCCTTAAACCCGAGGGAAGAATATTGTCAGAGTGGCCCCAAAGGGATCGGCTATGCATGGTTTTGAAACACAATATTCTATCTCTAAAAGATTCTTGTTTGTTTGTTTAGGCTTTAAGGCATAAAACCCTCATCAACGCCTGTGATTTGGTTATAGACTAAAAGATTCTTACTAGATTATGACAGATTTTTAGTGTGAATCCTCAAACTTAGCCAACCCAGGCCGTGTTATAACAACTATTAATTATTCATCCGATGTCTTAATTATGAATCGGAGTAATATTCATTGTTAAAATAGGTCGTCTAGTGAATTAAGTCTTCATATCCGTATAAAAAATAAAACTTGTCTAAGACAAATATTACTTCCATTGTGTATACTATTAGAAATAACTAGCGCAGTTATGAATGAAAATTTGATATGTTTGCAGACTGCTTTCCCTTTATCAGTAAATTTATAGCTTTCATAAAACTTAATAGTCTTCATTTATGCAATAAATTGTTATTTAACGAAACAATTTTATCAATTGGCTGTCTTACACTGGAGTCCTTGCCTTCTACCTACCTAGAAATGTAGCTAAAACCACAATCTTCTATGTTTGCAGTAGAGGTTAGAATTTATCTACTGCTTAAAAACCCAGACCATTATCAAGTTGCCTGTTAAATTCAAGGATTAGGTTGATTAGTGATAAGGTGATCTATGAAATTTGTTTGACAATTAATTCTCTGGAATTTTTTTGAGCTCGTTGATGTTTCTTGTAATATCTTAAAACTCTTTATTGGACTTATTTATGATTGTTTCCTCCAAAATAAAATTAATAACTTAAAAGTGATTCAGTATAAAAATTTGAATCTAGCTGGGTTTTTTATCCGAATGCTTCCTTTAAATCACCTATTTAATAAATGCTATTGTTGGAATGACTTTATGATAACATTGTCAGTAGTGATATGTGATGAATTTTTGATGACAATTTCTTTTTTTGGTACTAACAATGACTTCAGTAACAGAAAGAAGTGTCCTTAGGTGGAAAGAATGGATCCCTCTTATAACTCAACAAGTAAATTACTATTATTTAATCAAAATTAATTATGTCAGTCTTTTTATTTGTCCTTTTAATTATCTTTATTATTTTACAGCAAAGATTGAGAAATTTGATTCAAGTTATCGCATATAATATTCATGTCAAAGTTGAAATGATGGAGTTGAAAAAAACTAAGAAATTTTATTACTATTATACATTGCATTTAACAGCGATGTCTTCTCCGCTGTACACCAGTGAACACTTAGAGAGTGAAAATCCTAAATGGGCCGAAATAGAAATAAATAAACTATATGGTTCAGCTAATGGTAAAATTGTTGTACAAATATAATTTTCTATCATTGAGTTCTATTAGTAAATCCAATTAATGTTTCAGGTGTTGTCATACGACTATGGGTTCATGTACCTGATGATGTTGATAGTGTAATCACAGTGTGGGGAATTTATTTTAGTGGATTGGTGTACATCGGTCCTCGCCTGAGTTGTACTGATTCATCTTCTTTTTCTCCTAACTCCTTAATACTGCATATGCATGGTGGATATTTTACAGCTCCCCATTGTTTTCTTAATCCTCATCCAGTTACTCCAAGAACAATCTCAATACAATTGGATGCTATAAATGTCAAGCCTAGCTACTCTATTGATTTACTTTTGAGGTATTTTTACCTAAATTAGGCTTCCATCCAATTTTTCTTCTTTTTTGTATTGCCATTTATTGGTAAATAATAGTGGGTTATTTTTTATTTATAATGGAGATATAAGTGACCATTGATGAGATCATGGAGTTGATTGTTGGGGGTTTGGTGAAAAATGAAATGGTAATTATACTTGATTAAATATGAAGTTTCTCAAGTGCTTTTTCTGTGGTATATCCCATTCATAAGCTTATTAACCTCTAAATCCATTATCTTTTTATACATAAAGTAATATCATTATAGTTGTGAGTATATTTATTTATAAATTCACACAATTTTAATTTTTGGTGCAAATTTAATCAAACTAAAATAAAACTCAATAAGATTGTACATTAAAGGATTATAACTAGTAATTTGGACTATGATATTCCTGCAAAGAAAATAAAAATGATGGCACTACAATTTAGAAGTTACAAATGTTAATATATTTTATGCCACTGTACAAATGTCACTCCACTTTGCCGAGTGAGCTGAGATCCCACTATCACACTATAATTGGAATTCTGAGATTAGCCGAGGATACTCAGGACTTCACAATATAATTTCCTTTTATTTAGATTGCAATTTACAACTTCAGCTAACTCTCCACTTGCCCATTTTAGTTTAAATCAGGGCGATAATTTGCTATAATTATATTGCTGCTTTCAACTCCCACTTGTTAGGTTGTTTAAAAGGAGTAAATAAAACTCTAGCAGGCCCTTTTCAGTTGAGATCAGAGCCTTACCAGACAGTTTGAACAGCCTCACCCAACACATTATCCCAATTCCATTAACGGTGTAATCATGAGATCTTTTACCAACAGAAAGTGGAGTGACATTTGTACAGTTGAACTATGTATTCATTCTTATTTGCTTATATTTTTTTCTTATTTTTATAATTAAAAAGAAAAATATATATTATCAGTTAATTGCCAACAGTTGGTTTTTTTTAATCGATAAATAAAATCAATATTCACAAAAAAGTTCTTGAAGGTTCATCTCCATCAAAAATGTACTTAGCGACTTTTCACAATAAACCAGTAATATATATGATGAATGCATACATAATATATATCAAGAATGAAAAAAAAAAAAAAAATCAGAATTTGCAGTTAACTATTTCTTTAATGATTTAGTGGACATTTTGACCCAAACATGTATGTTATCATCAGGGCTAAAAATTAAAAGCTATGACATATTAGCAGAAAAATAATGAATATAAAGGTATAAGTGTAAAGTATATCAGAAATAATTTAATGATAATAACAGTAAATGAATAAGATAATAGTAAAAATTTCACCTTATTGTTTACTCTTATTATTTATTTACTTTTATTATTATTATCATCTTATTACTGTTATTCTTTACTCTTATACTTTTGTATTTATCTTTTTTCTGATGTTATTTTATATTTTTTAATTTTTAGTCGTGATGATAACTGACATGTTTGGGTCGAAACATCGACTAACTCATTAAAGAAACTTTTTACTGCAAATCCTTACAATTTTTTTTTTTTCATCCTTTTAATTTCGACAGTCAATTACATATTCATCTCTATAAGTTATATTATATTATAGTTCACTTGCGCCTTGAGCATGATAAATGTGTTTGAGATTAGATAAACTAAAATATTAAATTGATAGCATAAGCTTAGATTTTGTTATCAGTTATATTAAATTAATTTGATGTTTAGGGCATTGGTACTGTAAGAAATAAAAAATCTGTACCACTACAACCCATCAAGGGTCTTGGGTTCAGTACTAAGTTGGGAAGTACATTAATTAAGAGTAACAAATTTATAAAGGCTGGGTATGTCGCAGGTGGGTCTCCCGACCCCAGGGTTGTACCACAACTAATGTAACAGAATAAATAGTTTTTCCTTGCATCCTTCCTATACCGCATAAGCAGAACTCGGTACTCATCCTACATAATACAGAACCTGCAATTTAAATCATCCAGCAAATCCATACTCTCCTCCTCAACAAACTGCGGCATTTGACAAGTCCTTTTTCATCCAAGCTTTCTTCTTCTGGAACTATCTCACCTACCATCCGCCATGCGTCAACACTTTCCTCGTTTAAACCTCTCAATTTGCAGTATTGCCTCATGAAATAAAACAGGTTCTTGAGAAAGACTTCATTGTCACTTTTGTATAATTCCATATAATCTCCCTGGTCATGTTAATGGAATGGGGTAAGAAATGATGGCAAAAGGGGGTGTAAATCAGGCACCGTACGAAAATATGAAACAAGTCCTCTAATTTATTTAGATTACAAAGTGTGCAAATTTCTTTCGGCTTAAACTAATAATATGTATTATTGAATATTAATTTAATATTATAATTGCCAGATAACCTAATCTGTGTTAATGTTTTGATCGTAGAGAACGGGATATTTAAGGCGAGATGAGGTTGATGCTTATCACTCGCTGTATACATATTGAGATACATTGGGCTGTACCTAGTAGGAGTAATCAATTTTTGTTTATCAAGCTGCTTCATGTGGCTCTTAAGCAGGCTTATTGTTTCATTCACCTCTAACTAAAATGCACCTGTGTCTTCTAATTCCAGAATGAACTGTTTATTTACAGAGCACAACAGAGTGTGTAACTGATAAAACCGATTGAATTTATGCCGCCCTTTGCCAATATAATGTATTTCTCTTAACTTATTAAACCAAATTTTAGAAAATCTATCACTTTCCATTTTCAAAATTTTGTACTTGTCCCTTAACCAGACAGGACTGACGCTATCTGCCAATGTTTATAACCTCAACACTGATAATTCTGATAAGGCTTCTCATAATTCCTATCTTCATATTCATATTTATTGTATTATATTCATATTATTGAAATTGTAAACAAAAACAAATGTAATGATAAAAAAAAAAAAAAATGCTTTTATGTTACAACATATAGACGAATACGAATGTAATATACTAATATAATATGTAAAACAAACAGACAAAAAAAATTGTAATAATATCAAAACAGTTTGGTTTGAAATTGAAGTAGATAAAAAGAAATGTAATAATTCCCACAACAATGAGAAAACACTTTAATTCTACAGCACATATATGAAATAGACAAAAATAAATGTAATAATAAAACACCGCTCAAACCTCTCTTAAACATTTTTTCCACATTACCATACTTTCCTTGGATATTTTCAGCTGCTCTTTGCCCCACTTTATCATTGTTAAATTATGGGCCCACCCATAAATAAATTTTAAAGCAGTTAAAAATGAAATCCTCAACCCCTCTAACCATGCTCCTTTCCTTATAGAAACTTGTTTGTATTGTATAAGTGGTACGAGAGCATCTCCATTTTCCCTTTCTGTCTAACTTCATTTGATGACCTTCATACAATTTTACGTTTGAAATTATCCCAGCGTTTTGAAAGTATTCAATAGCCTCTTCTTGTGAAGATGGTAATTCTCAGAATGTAATAACATCCATAATTTGACGAAAATAACAGAAATGGAACAAAAATAAAAAATGAAATAACTCAAAGCTTTGAGGAGATAAGAAAGGAGGTTTCGTCCAAACCCAAAAGTACCCAAAATTTTTAACACCCAAGAGATTGCTAATTTCAATATCACAACTAAGCAATGAAGTACTTTAAATTCCAATCTATTTAACCAGAATGGACAATGAGTTTGGCATTCAGTTCAAACGTATTGGCTTGATGTCCTAGTCAAACTCTTTGAAGCATAATTTGTCTTATCTCAACCCGTCAACTTACCAATTTAGGGGTGTTAAACTTCAATGACTTTTATTAACATTGTTATATGAATTTAAGAATCAAAGTTAAAATTTATCACTTCTTCATGAAATTCTCTTTTTTTCAAATATATCACTCCAGATCTGAAAAAGGGATCTATACTACACTATTATATATATATATATATATATATATATATATATATATATATATATATATATATATAATAATTTTTAAAATGTTAATATAATTATTTTTGTATAACATTTTGTTTGGTTTTTGTACAGGCTTCAGTCGTTGCAACATTCCATTAAAAAAGAATCTCATGCCACATCCGTTCTTCAACAACAAATTGCTGAAGGCTTATTTGCATCTACTTATCAGAACTCTGATAATAGCAGAGGTAGTGCCGCTCTTAGAAAACTACTTAGCAAGAAATCTCCACCAAAGGCAGACCCAGTTCAAGTTCTAGCCGTAAAGAGAGAACTCGAAATGATGAGGTTTAAAGTAAAGTTACTTACAGAGCACAAGGATTTGGTACATGTAACTTTGCAGAAAAGATTAACGGAACGAAACAATCTATTAGAAAAAAATCAAGATAGAGGTACCCTTTTTTTCATTCATTTCAAAAAATTAAATTACCTACAAAACAATAAATATTTCTTTGGAATCGAACTAATATTAGCGATGATACAGAGTACTATATTTTCTACACATTTTATAATTTATTATTTTCCTACCTCTACTATGTAAGAAAAGTATTGCGATGAGAACAAATTTAGGATTTGCAGATTTTAACGGACTTTCCGTTTCAACATATCCAAGAAGTTTTTTACCAGTTTTGCAGCATGCGGCTGAGCGTTGTCCTATAATAAAATCACCTTGTGTCTCTGCTCATATAGTGCCCGTTTTTTCTTTTGTTGCTCGGCTCAAAAGCATCAATTGTAGTTGTTAGGAATCTTCGGTGATAGTTTCGTTCATTTTGAGCAGCTCATATTAAATTACACTGTGTTGATCCCACCAAATGCAGAGAATCTTCAAACCATGGATTTTTGGCTTTGCAGATGATGGGCCAGTCTTACTCCATGATTTTTTAAGCTTAATCAAGACACGGATCTTGATTAAGTAATTTCTCCAATTTTTCGTCTTTAAAATTAAAATCATTATTTTTGAAGTACCCAAACCAATCTTTATGTCATTCCCGATAGAGCACGCTTTCTGTCAGTCTCAACAAGAATTCCGTCTGCTTTAGCTACAGATAGATTTCTTTTGACGAAAATAGTGCAATCAAATACTCTTTACTAAACATAAAATTCAACATGTTTAGAATGTTAAAAAAATATTGTTTATACTGTGATGAAATAGCATACACTGAAATCCAAGCTCACCAACAGTTCTTTTAAAATTATGTAACTATCTTAAATGAATGACACAAAGCATTGGTTCTGCCATCTGTTAGGAAACAGTGAGAACTTATTCAAGACACTTATAAAATGAAAATAATTATAATTCTAAGTAATTTTTTTTTCTGTTGGCATTAAAGGCCATGTTGATCATTTGCCACCTTAACAAGCCTACTCTATCTCTGCATGTCTTGGGATATTTCTTTCCATTTATCTGCCCGCAGTTCTATTGCATCTTTGTTGATTCTATATATCCGTCTGCTTTTTGGCCTTCCACGTGGTCTTTTGTCTTTTATTAAGGCATTCGTTGTCATGTAGAGGCTTCCAGATGGATTGTTATGAGCTACATGTCCCGCCCATCATAACCTCCATGCCTTTATATCTTTGGATATTGATCGACCAATTTCTGTAAGCAGGTCTTTATTAGTCTTTCTTCTTCACTTTTATAATTTTATGTAAATTATTTATTCATACCAATATATGTAAATTTATACCGATGGGTCAGCTGAATCAGCTGTCAAAAATGATGGGGCAGGGGTTTACTCGAGGGAGTTTCATTTCATTGCTGCGATGGGTGAGGATGGTAAGAATTTTGACGGTGAGTATAGCCCTAAGAACACTATCAGGAGGTGATAAATAGACAGACAGTACCTGAGGAGTACTTGAACACCTTCATGCATCACCTGAAACGTTGGCACTAATAAAAATCTTAAAAATGATTGCATCCTGACTATTGATCACCTATGTAGAACAGTCAACTGCTTCCTTTAATAATTCTTAAGATGAATCATGTACATATTTATTATTCTAAAGTGAGGTTCTTCCTTAATATTTTTTTTTCCTATCTGTCTAAATTACCAATTACAAACATATTTGACTTTTTCAACCAGTAATATGTTGACTATGTCGTGTGATATTTTATGAATATGTGTGTATAATGAAGTGAAAATATCTCTATATATGTACATGAATTTATTTACAGATATATATATATCGCATGTTTACTCATTCATATATATGGATATTTTCATATTCATATAAGTAATAATCCAAATACTTATTTACAGAATCAGAGCTCATGGAAAATTTTTGTTGCCTCCGAAGGGAGATTGAGAAAAAAAGAGAAATGAAAGCTGAGTTGACAGAATGTAAAGCTCAGTTGACGCAAACAGCCAGTTTACTTGATTTAAGAAGGCGTGAAATAATTTCTGAGTTAGCTTATATTTATCCAATTGTGCAGGTAAACATGAATTGCTTTATTATGTTAGCATATTTATATTAGTTAATTATCTTGATTTTTTTATTTTTGAAATTATACATTACCTTTTAAATGAATGAATGATAATAATTTTATTATTCTGGGACTGGTGCCCCTTTAGAACAAGTTACAAGTACAGAATTTATATTAATATTCTGGAGTGTACAAAAATTCAATTAAATATTTAAAGGATGATTAGGAATACAATAAAAATATAGATAATAAAAAGATATAAAAACGTGCATAAATATAAAATAAACAGAGGAAGTAAAATAAGTAAACAAAATAATTAAAGTATCTGGGGGTACTTTGAGATACTTACAACTTAGATTTTTAAGTGCATTTCGTGATCAATGGGATTGGAAATGGAGTAGATGTTTGAAGAGGAGAGATTTGGAAGAGAATACTGACTTTGCGTGTCGAATATCTGAGCGGATAGAGTTCCAGAGGGAGACAGCTTGAATTAAAAAGGATTTGCCAAACGCAGCAGTTCGGTGAGGAGGATAGAGGTCGAACGTACGGGGTTTGGTGGGACGGGATTGAAAGGAGCGTTAGAAAGGTAAGATCTGTGGAATATAAGAGGGTTGCCAAGTTCTAATAGCATGGTATAGGAAGGTTGCTAGGAAATACTGACAGCGATAGGACAGATTAAGCCACCTCAACTCGGTGTAAAATTGGTATTAACCAAGCATATTAATGCATATCCCTTGAGATCTCGAAGATAAATTGGATTGAGCAATTCATTAGACGTTTAAGTTTAGTTTCGAGTTCTCCCGAGAGTCCACTATACACCATACAGCCATAGTCGAAGTGGGAGAAAAAAAAGAGAGGAGACCAGGAGTTGACGGGTTTTGAATGGAAGAAGATAACGTAGATGGTTAAACTGTTTCTGGCTGGAAATAGTAAAGTGAGAAATTTGGGAGATATGTGTTTTCCGGGAGAGGGTTTGATAACACTAAGGTTTTTAACGATAGTATGAAAGGAGATAAGTGAGATGTTCAGGAGAAGATTGGGAGGTACTGAAATGGATTTGAGGAGTGAGGGGAATCGGATCAGGATGGATTTTGTCTTCTCCGTATTTAATGTGAGCTTATTAAGATTCACCCTTGTTGCAGTTTCAGGATGGCATTAGAGGAATCCGCCGTGTTGAAGAAGAGGTAAATTTGGACGTCGTCATCATATAGGTGATATTGACAATGATAGAGGAAGGGAGGTCATTGATATAGATGGAAAAAGGGTGGGGGATAAAGAGTAACCCTGTGGGACACCCTAGACAGGCATAGAGACATTGATGGTAGGTTATTAGGAACTACAATGTACTGAGATCGACCAGTGAGAAAGGATTGGAACCACTTAAGGACACTAAATGATAAGGAAATATTTTTAAGTTTGGTTAGGAGGTTATTATGGTCAACTGAGTCGAATACTTTAGAGAAATCAAGAAGGATCAGGACGGTAAGTTTCTGTTGGTCTATGGCTGTGTGGAGATCTTGGCAGATTTTAATGAGGGCGGAATTGTTTAGGTATTTCCTAATAAAACACTCACTGATAATTTTTACACTTTTAATTACCAAAACACATTACATTATAATCAACAAAGGCAGTAAGTACCACATTGTACAGCAATCTACATAAGGTTAAACTCAATCTCTTATAACACACCCAGAGGTTATAATAGTTAACACACAGAGGTTCAAAAATAATCGATTTTATTATAAATTATGTTTTCACTTTAACACCTTCCTTCATAATTTCTTTAAAAATAATTTAAACAAATAAATTGAATATAATACACAAATAGAATTTTTAAGTCAGTCCTAAATATTTATTTAGCTTCTTCAGTCTAGGGCCTAGCACAGGCTTTGTTAACCCGTCGGCAATTTGATATGCAGTATCCACTCTCCGGATATGAATTTCTCCCTCTTGAACCTTTTCTCTGACAAAGAAGTGGCGAATGGATATATGTTTTGTACGTTTGTGCCACACAGGGTTCTCTGCTAATTTAATGGCAGCATTATTATCGACAAAAAGCGTACCTTCTTTAAAGTCAGTCATCTCTTGAAGAAGCCTTTTGAGCCAAACCATTTCTCTTGTACCCTCACTTGCAGCGATGACCTCAGCTTCAGTGGTAGAGATGGAAACTGAACTCTATCTTTTACTCGACCAAGATACGACACCACCCGAATACAGACAAGCAATGCCAGTTGTAGACCTGCCAGTTAATTTGTCACCACCAAGATCTGCATCAGAGTAGCATTGAAGAATTCCGCTTCTATGGTTTTTCTTGTACATTATTCCAAGTTCAGAAGTCCCTTTTAAATAACGGAATATTCGTTTGACCCTGGTTATGTCACTATCGGAAGGATTATCAAGTGTTCTTGAAGCTATGTTGATGGAATAAGCAATATCCGGTCTTGTACATATCATCAAATACATAAGTGAACCCACAGCTTCTCTATATTGAAAATTCGTTGTCTTGATGTCCACATGTTCTTTTTCATTGTCTAAATCATCCTTTAAAATTGGAGTACTAACAGGTCGACACTCATCCATCTGGAATGTTTTGAGAAGTCTCCTAATGTAAGAAGATTGAGTTATTTTTATACCTTCCTTGCTCCTGTTAATCTCTAGTCCAAGATAGAAATCAGCTGGTTTAGTCTTGATTTTGAACTCCAGTTTTAATTTGTCTAAGAGCTCCATTGCTTTCCTTTCATCCGAAGCAGCGATCAATCCATCGTCAACATACAAACACAACAAAATCCTCTTACCATTCACATCTTTGATAAATAGGCAAGGATCTGCTGTACTAATTTGAAAACCAATGCTAACCAGGAAATTTTTTATCTTCTCGTTCCAACAACGTGGAGCCTGTTTGAGCCCGTATAGGCTTTTATGTAATCTGCAAACCTTCCCTGAGTTGTCTCTGAAGCCTTCTGGTTGCTGAATATAGATTTCCTCCTTGAGTTCTCCATTTAAAAATGCAGTCGAAACATCAAACTGATGCAGACTCATATCTTTATTGGCAGCAATACTGATTACTGTTCTGACAGTGGTTTGACGAGCAACTGGACTGAAGGTTTCTCCAAAATCTTGACCTTTCTTTTGTGCGAATCCTTTTACCACTAGCCTAGCTTTATATCTTTCTAAATTTCCATCAGGTTTATATTTCTTGTTGAAAACCCATTTTGAAGGAATAACTCTCTTATTTTTAGGCAAATCACAGATAGTCCACGTCTTGTTCTCTTTTAAAGAAGTCATTTCTTCTTCCATGGCTTTTTGCCACTCCTCAGCTTCCTCACTGTTCATCGCACCGTACAAGTCCAATGGCACATCTTCACTCCCTTCGACGATGTTGACATAATCATCCATAAATTTAGGTTTATTAATTTTATCCTGACCTCTCAGATTTACGCCTCTTTTCCACACTATATCTTCTATTTCTGGATCTTCATTTTCTTCTTCATGAGATTCCCCTTGATCTTCCAAAGGTATTTCTTCAGATTCTCCTTCTTCTTCCAAATATTCTTCCGGATTCTCTTCACAATATATGTCAATACCTTTTCCTTCAATCTTATGAAATGACAATTTTTCACATATCGGTGCTTTGAGTGACTCCTGGAATATGACGTCTCTTGATCTAATTAGTTTATTATTTGAGAAGACTCGGTATCCATTGTCACCATCATATCCAACAAGTACTCCTTGAGTAGCCTTTTTATCAAATTTTCTTCTATTTTCTTTAGGAACATGGACCCAACATTTGCATCCTATAACACGAAGATTTTTTACTCCTGGTTTAATACCCATCCAATGTTCAAATGGGGATTTTCCTTTTTCTGATGATGGACCTGTTCGATTTAATATATAGGCTGAAGCGTTAATCATTTCTGCCCATAGCTCCTTAGGTAGAGATTCTTCTCCTGAGTGCATGAGGGCTCTTGCAGTTTCTACAATGGTGCGGTTTTCTCTCTCAGTGCAGCCATTTTGTTGTGGCGTGTATGGCATAGTGTAACTAATTTCAATACCTTTTGATTTAAGGAAGTTTTCTCTTTCATTTTTAAACTCTCCGCCATTGTCACATCGAATGCACATTACTTTATGATCTAATTGGGTAACTTCAGCTAAAAATTCCTTCAATTTTTGAAATACTTCATCCTTGGTCTTAATAAAATAAACTTTTCTAAATTTTGAAAAATCATCCTTAAATACCAGAAAATATTTAAAACCACCTTTCGAAGGGATAAAGGGACCGCATACATCAGTGCTTATAACTTGACCAGTTTTCTCAGCTCTTTTCCGACGCCCAAACTTGAATCTATGAGCTTTTCCTTTTATGCAGCCCTCACAGAGTTCACCATCAAGAGTTAAGTCTAAATTGAGTTCTCTTTTAACTTCTTCCTTCACATGTCGTTTGTTTTGATGACCCATCCTTTCATGGTAAAGCTGTAATAAATTATGGTCTTTGATAGGAGCAGATATATAGTTATTTTCTGACTTACAACTCTCCGTTGTGGGTACCACCCTAATTGCTAGATTATAGAGACCACCTCCAATTTGACGATTCCCTGACACAAGTGTCTCTTTGCCTTCAAATAATTTACAGCTAACTGCAGTGGATTCAAATTTACTCTGTGGCCTATGATCTTGAGCCGCCAAAAGCGAAAAAAGATTCTTGGAAATACCTGGAACTAGCCAGACATTAGTGAGTTCAAAACTCTTCCACTGGCCGTTGGACGCAGGTTCAATTAAAATAGATCCCTTGCCCAGCGCCTTGACTTGAGAGCCATCAGCCGTAATAATTACATGGTCATCTGTAAATGATTGAAAACTTGTGAACCATTCCCTTCTGCTACATATGTGATGTGTCGCTCCATTGTCCACATACCAAGCCTCACTGTTGGTCTCCGATGCAAAAACTTCTGAGGTAACTGTTAATAGAGTTGCAGCTTCGCTTGAATTGTTTTGAGCACATTTAGCTTTAG